CAAAAGAGAAGAAGGAGAAACGCAAGCAGGAGATGATGGCGCCAGACAACGAGAAGAATGAGGCAGTCAAGAAGATGACGAAGCAGGACCAGCCTCCGCACAGTGGAAGCCAGGGATCCAGCTCAGCAATGGCAATGGCTGACGATGATGATGATGATGGCCATGGCAGTAGTGGTGGGAAGGTACGCAGCAACAGCTAAGAGGCAATGTCCCCAGTCAACAGTCAACAGTATGGAAACAACACTGACCAGTCAACAGTATGGAAACAGGGCAAGCTCAAAAGTGCATACCTGTTGATCAACACTTAGCAATTATCCAAGCTCAACATGTTCAGAGATTGGGGACCTTGGCTGTCAGCATTTTTTAGATCAGCACGCCCCGCGACAGTGCTGAAAAATATGCAGTTTCGCTTTGAGGGTTTGATCGGTGCTGAATAAGCGCCGCAGTTTGATCGGTCAGGATGTCCTTGTCGTCCACCCCTTCCTCGTCATTGCCCAGGTCTTTGGCAAACCTGGAGTCACGCGATGCTTGGCTGAGAGGTGCTGAGTAAGCGCCACTGTTTTTTCATGGTGTATGTTAAAGTTTCTCAGCGGCGTGATTTTTTTGCCAAATCTCGATTTTAAAGGCTTTTTTGTTCTATCGAGCCGCCTTTTGGGTCAAAAGGCGGCTCGCGCTCTCTATTTTAAGAAGGGGTCCATTTTTCCGTTTTCTCCAGGATTCCAGGAATAGAGGATTGATTTTTTCAATGCAGGATTGAATAGACTGATATTCATCATCAAAAAATGAACAGGATTGAGTACTCCCACCGCCAGATAGCTTAAACGCTTCACGGTGGACATGGATGTGGATGGTGCTGAACAAGCGCCAAAAATGTGGATGTGCTTGAAGCACATATTCCCTTTCTGGCCATGGGGTGGTTTTATCAAGAGGTGGGGATTTCAGTGGATAGTGACACCAAATCCAACTCAGTGTAGTCACATATACCACCCATCTTTCAGGGGAGTTGCCACAGGTCATATGCAGCTTTATTTCAGGAGTTGTACATATCTTTGTGGTTGGTACGTTTTTTAGAACGGATGGTGCTGAAGAAGCGCCCATGTCCAGAAAGAGATGGTTGAACTACTTAGCGCCCCTTCCAACCATTCCAACCCTGTGAGGTTCCCGGCCGACCTGCTTCTGGATCTGAGGTTCGCCATTGCCCCACTCTGCCAGTTTGGCGCTTCTACAGCACCAATCATCTGGCGCTTGCGCAGCACCTTTTTAGGGGCGCTTCTTCAGCACCTTCCTGCTAAAATACGATTGTTTAAGTTGCCCTTTAACAGTGTCCAATGCATGTTTTATCTCATGTATCAAAGTGTGTTTGCTCAAAAACGCTCCAAAGTCGTTTGGCAAGCACTGTGTGGTTCCTGCCTGTGGATCGCAATAGCTGATTTCTCAGGACGCTTGATGACGTTTGTGTATTGTTTTGTCTGCGCCTGTCAAATTGTTTGTAAGATTTCCTCTGAAAAACCACAAAAAACATACCAAGATTTCCAGACATTCTACTGTCAAAAGCCATGCCTTTTTAAAGTCAGGCTTCCACATGCCACCAACTTTCCAAAAAACAAGTTGAATCATCTCTCAACTTTTAATGAAAGCAAGATATCACCAAAGTGATCAAAAAGACTCCCACTGTTTGACACAAAACATTTGGCATTTATTTCTTTGAAAATTTATGGGATCAAAGTTATTTCTATGCCACAGGCTTTTAACCTTGAAGCCTTTGGGCTATCATATTCACAGAGCCAAAGAAAGGTACAAATTTTCAATTTTAGGGTCATCATAGGACATGGGTTTTCAGATCACCAGTCATCATGTTGACAGGGCCAAAAACCCAGGCAACAAAAGCACATACCAAAGCACAGCCCAGACTAGGTAGCTACTGTTGGACCCCAAGTCATTTACAATTTGACCAACCCTTCAAACTCCGATGTGGACCTCAAAAACAGGTCGGCCCCCATAGGAAATGGCCACTTGTTCCCAGGTGACTTGTTTCTCCCAGGTCTCCCAGGTGGTCTAAGTGCTTTGAGCAGCTTACGAGGTCTTCATGCATTTGTTCATTCTGTTGGTCAGTCCCTACCCCAGTCAATAACCATCTCCGCTTCAGGACTTTCGCTTGTCGCTCAGATACCCACGGTGGGTGTGGAAAGGGAGAAGTCTTTAGGTCTTTAGGTGTTGGTAATTCTCTGCCGAGCAGGATCATATTGATTGACTTTCCACAAGAAAACCACCAACTGGAACTTCCTTCCAAGTTTGCATGGACATGTTCCTCCTTAATAGTCTTGGTATTGAAAAGAGTCCGAATGTGTGTTCGCTATCCAAAGTGTTTTTCCATGTTTTTTCTGATTCTCTTCCCTAGCGGGTCCGGGTCCATTCCAGCTCACCTTGGACATAACTTGACAACTTCAGAGATTGGGTTGTTCTGGATGTCCGGGATCAGGCCTACCTGAGCGCGGAAGTTTTGAAGAGCCATACAACGGCAGCCCAAGAGGGCTTTGAGACTTTCAATATGGGTCACTTGCAGCAAAGATGGGATTCTGAAGTGCCACTTGCTAGTGATGACTTCGCTGCAAGTGAAAGCTCCCATGAAGTCTAGTGAGTTTGGTATAAATCCAAAGCAGGCGAGTGGTTGGACAGGACTCGCCGGCTCAAGCAGACGCAGTCTTTGCTTCCTGCGAACGCATGTGCAGGAAGCGTTCCAGGGAATTCGAGTGTTGGCCATAGCACAGGTTCGGTATCCCGTGGCAACAGACAGGCCGTCGTAAAAAGGGAAGCACTCATGGAGGAACACTTCAGCAGGTGTGATGGTGGGCAGACAAGAGTGAGTAGATAGACCTCAAAACGGAATTTCCCCGGAAACGACGGCGCTTCTTGTTCGGGAACGGAGGTCAACGTCGTCACCCCAGGCCAACACTCGCCTTGAGGGAACCGAGAGAAGCACTGTGACCACGAAATGAATGATATGGTGGGGTATGTGGCAACGGCAACACCATGTTCTCCGTGTGACACGAACAAACTTTCACCGTCCATGTACGAAACAACTACGTAGATGTTGCCGCATAGATTGAACAAATTAAACATAGATGGTCCAGCTTTCAATGGCCTGTCGGAGGTCTGTTATGAGTCATCTCGGCACCAGGCACGTGGCGAAGCATTGAATGGATCCTGAGTCGCATCCCGATGGGGTCAAGCCAAAAGACGGCTACCTAAGCTGTTCCACGTCGAATTGGTCAAGCATGTTGCATCATGTTGGGATGTTTCTTGTGCCAATGGCAAGCGCGACGGCTCTTCACAAACTCATATGGGCGACTTGGTCTTGGAGAATACTCTTCCAACATTTCCCCGGTCACCAACTCCCCGTGAGCTTCGGTGTTTTTGATGATCTCCAAATGAGTATGTATTCAATTGAGGAGACCTCCCAGTTCGACCTTCTGGAAGAAGGGAAATGGACATTTCATTTCCATATCGAAATACCATGCACACCCAAACAGAGGACAGTTTCCTTCACTCAAAGCGATCTCATCAGCTATCAGCATCTCTCCGGTCGCACGTGGTGAGTCGTTCTGAGACAAACTCATGCCGCGGCGATGGCGTCCATCGACCTACAAATCTACGTGCCAGGCGCGATGGCTTTTGGCCATCGGAAATCAAATTGAACCCTCCAAGTGGACAGGTCTTGGGGATACCCCAAGAACCATCATCCACCACGGCAATACAATACACTTTATATAGGGGGAGTTGTTCGATCGGGGCACAAAGAGAAAGAATCCACCGAGTCGACCACGGCGCTTTTCCAAATAGGCAGAAGACAAGAGCAGAGTGGGATTTCCTCAATTCTTCAGGTGGTATCCCACAAGCCAATTGTTTATATCTGAGACATCTGCGTTTTGGATCGATTCTCCAAGCTTTTTGGATGCCCTTCTGTGGCAGGTGTTGCGGTGGTCGATATCTCCATCGATGACTCTGAGGCCCTAGAGATGGGTGTCGGACCCACGCGATCCGAAAACACGGCGCGACCCACGCGACGACCGGGCCCCGGTGTCCTTGTTTTTGGCGTTTTCTCACCAATCCCGATCGGTTTGGTTCGGGACCGGGAGTCGGGGCAACTCACGGAGCGAACCTGGGCCCAAGGAATCTCTATGGGCGGAGCAAAGCGTTAACCTGATTTCCTTCGAAGACGCTTGCGCACTACCATGCAAGCAAGCGACAAAAAAGCAATGTAAACGAAGAAACTTGCTCGGTGATCATGTCATTTCTTCGGTTGTTGTCCTGTTAAGTGGGCGGTCGCGATTCCCGTCGACTTCTGTGCACGATTCCCCTGTGACACTCCGAAGAATCGCTTCGTTGGAAGTGTCGCTTGGTTGCTTTGTCAAGACAATTCAAAGGGAACCGTGATGGAAAGGGAACCTAGCGATGGCCTCCCACCTCCTAGCGATGGGAGCCTACCTTGAAGGGTTTGCTAGTTCTTGTTTTTGCATGACATCTTGCCCTTTGCAAGGCATTGCCTGCAGGTCTTTGTCTTTTCCAGATGACAATCCTTCTTACATCATTGGGCTCCTGAATTCGCAGTGAATGGAACATGTGAGGAAGGATGGGGTTCTTACCTACCCTGGGTTTTCTTCCGGCCCCAAGGCTTGGTTAGACCAATGCAAGATATTGAAATTGAGCTTGGTTGGACATGTTGGACGTGGCTACGCAAGACAGAGTTTTTGGAAGGAAAGGCAGAATCAGTGAACCCTGGCCCACTGCGTTTAGTCCAGGTGTCCTCCTAACACACCATTTTTGGGGCTTTGGGAGGATGTTTGATCGTCGCTGCTGCAACCTGGCCACGTCCTGGCCACGCCACTCTGTCGCTTCAGGACGTGTCAGCCCTGCTGCGCGTGGCCAATGTAGCCCTGCGAGGCAGGATCAAGAGCAAAGTGCCCGGAGCACCCAGCGGGTTCTCAGCCGATGCAGGGTTCGGGAGGGTTTTCGGTGCCACAAGAATGTCCAACTTCAAGAAGGTATTCCGCCATGATAGGAGCATTCTGGAGGCCATTGCTACTAGGTTGGAGGCCATTGCTAGTAGGTTGTCAGTTTGCGTCTTGATCTCTGGTGGTTCCACCAGGGCGAGTAGCTACCTGGCTACATGGTGAAATCATGTTCAAGTCCCCTGACTCCATGCAGGCAGACCAAACGGGGAAGTCTCTCGAACAGATTTCATGATCCACACATCAACGACCAGAGAATTTTCCTTAGATTCCGTGTGGTAGATGGACAAACACCAACTCATCAACAGATATACGAACTGATTCACCTCCGGCAAGCAGATTTGCAAACCAACTCAAACCAAGTGACCACTCCACGTCGCTCCTCTCAGGTTGCAGCTGATTCCTCCACGCTCTGCGCGGCCCTTGCGGCCTTTGCTCCCCCTGCGGCGCGCCGGGCTCCGTTGCGGAGATCTGCTGACGGCGCAGCTGAAAGCCGTGCCGGCGCGACGGGAGAAGCAGTGACCGGTGACGTGTGGCGTTTGGGGGGCATGGCCAATCCGGAGAAAGACGTTGGGAACCTCAAAAAAGGGAGACGAAAGTCTGTCACGAAGTGGAGGCAAAGGATCAAACACCTTTTCCTGAATGAAGATCGTTTGGGCGGGTGTGGTGAGCACCCGACTCACCCGGCTCCACTTGGGCGCAGGAAGTGGTGGTCACAGAGAAGACCTTTGCAGCCATCACTCCGTGCGGATCCGTGGCCACCTGGGGCGCTCTGGGTGCGCCAGGTGACGCGTCGTGGTCACCGACGGACGCGAGAGGGTGATCGTTTGGTGCGGTTGCGGTGGTGGGGTCGTCTAAAGAGAGCGGGTCATGATCACATGGTTTGATAGGGGCAAATGCAGGAATTCAGGAACTTCCTTTAGTTTGTGCCTCTAGTTATTCTTTGGTTTGCAGCGTCTAGCCGAGTTAGGCCAGTGATGGTCGCATTGGCCGTGGTGGTCCGCAAAACAGTCAAAAAGCTGTGTGGTTGGTAAAAGCCCCTACGAGACAAGGAAAGTCGTCTTCTTTTCGGGGCCGCGGTGATGTGTTCATCAGAGTGTAACCCTAATCATGCAGTCTTGCTGAAAATGGGACTGCAACATACTGTTAACCCCGAATGAAGAGTCATTTGTTGATGCTTCTTCTTTGTAACCCCCTTTTGCCCATGAGATCTCGGCCATTCCATGGCCGGTGGATGGCCGAGATCTCGGCGTAGTCGACGTCGAGTGAAGTCGCCATGTCATAATCCAGTGCATCGAGTGTGCTCTTGCGGTGTGAAACCTGGAAGCTGCAAAGGAATTGTTCCATCAACAGCTCAAGAGGAGTTGACTTCGATAACAACGGTGGCCCAAAAACCATATGGGCACGCTCACTAATCAGTTAGTTGTGGCTTAGGATTAAAAATAACGTCCAGCCACCTGTTCAAGTCCTGACTACTAGGTCAGAGATGTTTTTGGGGGAAAGAGATGAGAACTTCTTGATCTACTGCTACAGCACACATTTTTCCCACAAGTTTTCCTGAAACCTTCCACGTCATCGGTCAGACCGGCCGGCACCCCTTTTCTCCAGGTGGCAACACATCACCTGTGTCCGACCAGCTGGAGCTCCGCGGCTGTCCGACGGGTGTTCGAGGGACGGGCTCATTCGCTGAAACGTGGAAGGGAGAGCGAAGATACAGCCCGACACGTCTTCCATCGGAAGGCAAAGAAAGGCCACTGTTGTGGGATGTTGAAGTGCAAGATACGGAGAGATTTGTTGATTTTGAGAGGACCCATGAAAATTATGATACGTATGATTACAAGCCCCAAATCAAGCACAAACAGCTGGACGTGCGAAAGAACTATAGGATCTACATGGCACCCTCGCCATGGTCAACCAGAATATGGAGAGCACAGTTTTACACTGCCCAAAGCGCCCAAGAGCAAGGATGCTACCCGGCATTGTGGTCCGTCAAGGGCAATAATCAGAACCACAACCCGCACAAGAATGCGGAGAGCAAAAGCCAAGAGGAAGACTCTCAATGATTTACGTGCACGCCCAGACTTTGTGAATTCTCTATTGTCTATTTTGGCTCTCTATTGTACACTACTCTACTTTACTTGGTCGAGTTCCACCCTTTTCTCCTACTCCACACTGCTCTGCACCACACCACTCTGGTCGACGCTACCTCGACATTCACCTCTTCCTTTACTGCTTTTGCCCTATCGCTCGCCCTACCTCTACCTTGCCTTCACCACTCCTTTGCCACTCTCCTCTACTCGAGACCATTGCGAAACCATGGCGTCACTCACAGCACCCCTACTGCACCTCTGCCACCCACGATCGCTTTCACTGACGCTTTCACTGTCGTGTGAACGCCCCTGTGAAAGAGGAGCATCGAAGCAGAAGTTCAACCCTTGGTACATCTGTGGAGGGCAGTGGGGGGTAAGGACGGCACAACTTTGTTGAACTGGTTGAAGAATGTTTTCATCCTTGTTACATCCCATCACTGATTGTCATTTCACTTTCTTCATCTACTGTGCTCTTCTGTCACGAACTCTTCAGTCACCTTCCTTTCATTTCTAGCGCCCCACTAGACTCTTTCCCAAATCGCCAGAGGTTCTCACTTTGTTTATCATGCAATCAAGCATAACAAGCATGAAAGAACCTTCGAGCTTTGCAAATCGATCACCAAATCTAGGCAGCACGGACAATCGCAGCATATGCTCACAGGCCGAGGGGTCGTAACGGATGACCATTGAGCGCCAAAAAGCATGTTGGGTCCACTGCCCTGAGCGTGACAGACATCTGAGACATTTGTTGGCCAAAAAGTAGATCCCATAGGAGAACTACTATCTTTAATGAGTTCCTCCAGAAAAGAACTTGCAGAGTTGGTGCAACTGCAGTGCTTTTCACCAGCAGATTGGCGAGGGATCAAAAAGAAATGAAGAGAAGCGAATTGCCTACTGATATAAGTGTGATCTACAATCCTTTTGGGAGTGAATCTTGAGCCATGGCGCCATGTCAGTTAGGATCTTCATGGCGCCATTTGTTTCCTCTTTTCCGAACCAGTGTTCATCCGTTGGCGGGTTTTGTGACCCACGAAGAGTGCCCCGCAGTGACCCAAAGAAGGCCTTTTTGTGGTTTGCATGATCAACGTGGCTAGCACTGAGATGCACAGATGAACATCGAAACATGGCCGCACGTCGCAAGGAAGGTCATCGAACTCACAGCCAGTCGTTCAGCCTTGGCTGCTCTGAAGGCGCCGAAGTTGCGGAATGCGTCCGTTCGTAGCGTCTTTGCTCCGTTCGTAGCGATGCCCTTTTGCTCCTATGTAGCATTCTTGTTCCTAGTAGTAAGGCCAGGATGAGCCTGTAGGGGAGGATTTGGGTCCGGCCCAGAGATCGGTATTCACCGTGAAGCCCTGAAGGGAATCGAAGGGATCTCTTCGGACACATCTCAAGAGAACTGATCCGTCACCGACTCCCAGACCCAGGAACGGCAGTGCCGGACGATGTTCCGTGTCTTTCTCGTGGGGGGGTCCACATGGCTGGATTTCCCTGAAAAACGATACGGAAGAGGCAGGTCCACCATGGGGTTCAGGCTGGTGAAGATGTTGGTTGGTGAAAATTCAAAGAGCCTCAGAGGCGAATCTTTGCGGATGTATGGCAAAATGTTTGAACTCTTGAACATCTGAATTCCTTTTTTCACATGTTCTACCTCTTGAGCGTCCACCAGCGACACCACATGCACCAGCGACACCAGGCAGATGGCTCTGTGGTCTGTTGGGGTGCCATCAAAGGTGGCTGCTCCATCGTTTCGGAGCTCAGAGAGGTGCCTCCGCACCGTGGTCCGTGATCGGCTGGTGGGTTTGGATCTTTGAGAATCCAGGCACAAAAAAGAAAAAGACTGCCAGGAGCGCTGCCAGGAGCCCCGAACGTAGCTTCTTGCTCCTAGTAGCGATGCCCTTGTTCCTAGTAGCGTCCTCTTGTTATTAGTAGTAAGAATGCTACTAGTAGTAATGCCCCTGTTGCTAGTAGCGATGCCCTTGTTCCTAGTAGCTTTATTGTTACTAGTAGGCACAAAAACTCAGTCAAGTTGCGAAGGTCAGGTTTCTGCTAATGCCACATGAAGACTCTGAAGAGGTTTCTGCCGGGAAGAGCAAACGATCAAGCAGCTAACTGACTTAACAACAATACCATGTTCCTGTCATCTCCCACCAACATGTTGGCACTGGGTGATTTGCCTTTCGATGAGTTGGAATCGATGATCCAGATGGATGATTGCGAAAGAACTGTGCGGTAAGGATGCTTTGCGCAGGTCGGCTCGAGCGGTCTTGAAAATGCAGAGCCTGCATAGACTGCCTGCTATGCGCTGTGCTATTTCAATTGGGGTGATGGTTGCCTGTCCACTGAATCCCACTTCTAAGCCTAGGGAATCAGAGAAAATGTTTCAAGCATTCAGATGTCAAGGAGATTCCCAGGTGTCACGACGATCCCCCTTGTGACAGCATGTTCAGACCCCCCACAGATTGGAGAAGATCGAGCACCTTGCTCGCAGGCAGCCGATGAAAGGGTGTCTTTTCAGAAACGACCCTACCACAAGGGGTTCCCCATCCACAGGAGTACCTGGAACCACAAGGACATGAACATCATCTTTCTGCACGGTTGGAGTATCACTCTTATTTGACTCATTCCTTCAAGGAAGCTTTCTGGCTAGCTTCCAGGATCTTCCAGGTCTTAAATGTGAAGGCAAGGCAGTCTAGCGCACGACGGTGTGCAGATCTTTCAACCACCGTTTGGTGTTCATTGAAAAACAACGCCCAATTTGATCCCATTGGCGTCAAAACACAAAATAATGTTCAAAAAACGAAACGGTTCAACGTGCCGATGCGGTGTCACTACGGTGTTCGTGTTCACAACATCCTGGCTGGTGCATACGTGTTTTGGGCCCAAAGTTTTGAAGCGACGACGGGTTTGTCCGCTTGCAAAATGTGGAGAAAAAAAAACGGTGCAAGCGTTTTTGTTCCTTCACCTCGATGTTTTGAACGAAACGACATTGAGTTCACTTTGTCATCCCACCTACCTCCCTGCTTTCTCATCGCACCAGGTGCATCGTCTCTTTGCCACCCACGGCGCCTTCGCTGCACTGACCACCGACGGCACCGTGCGCTGCTGGGGCGATCCCTTCGCCGGGGGCGACGTGGCAGAGGCGCAGCGAGGTAGACGACTCGTAGTGATGCCAGGAGCCCCGAACGTAGCGTCCGATCGCTCCCAGTAGTAAGGCCAGGAGCCCCTAGGCCCTCGTAGCGTCCTTGCTCCTAGGTGGGGACAGGGATGGAGGGATCAAGTTGGCCCTCCCAGTTGGGAAGCACAAGTCTGAAGTGACTTGAAGCGACAGAGGATTAGGTCTAGGTGGGGACAATGTGGGCTAAAGCCTCCGATCATGTGGATGTGTCTCCCGTTTTCGCAGGCCCCCAAGGGCTCTGTAGGGTAGCTTTCGTGGGTTGAGACATCACCGTTCAGCAGTTTAGTTTGTGTTTGAAGAAGGTAGTGAATGATGGAATGCACATCAAACAGGCGGTGGCTGTAGCCCTTTGGTGCAGCAGCATTTGAGCATACGAAGGATGTTGAAGGAAGATCGAGCACGTCCATGGTTTTGTCTTCGAATTGCCCGCGTCGACTCTGCTTGGAATTTCAAGATCGGATCCATGCTGCCCGTTTGCTCTTGGAAAACATCAGCCTTGTAGCCTGGTTCCGGAGCTTGAACCTACTAGAGTAGTGAATCGTGAAGAAGGACTTGTGACGTGTAATCCTTCGCCATGGGCAAGTTAGCATGTTGTCCACGTTGGCATGAAATTAGCTGTCCAAGCCGAATCGGCAAACATGGAGTCGCGCAGCAGACAGAATCTCAGCTTCTGTACCAAGCTTGTTTTGGCACGACGATGATCCGCTGTGCCCACGGTTGAGCACGGGGAGCTTGAATATGCTTTTTGGACTTCCAACGGCATGCGTGGAAGAACGTTTGAAGCGTTGCCGACCGACGACAAAACCCTTTGGTCATGGCCTGGGTTTGTATGACTTCCCCGTCGAAAGAACTGCAGGATTCTGCAGGGTTGTTCCGTCTACTCGTCTATTGAAAATAGTACGCTCACCTTCAAGCAATCGAAATGACCATGGTCTTTGGTCTTGTTTTGTTCACATTCTGCCCGAAGGATGTCCGGTACAGGGTGACTGATTCACCTGAAACGAAAAAATGCCTGTTCAGAAGGTCCCTGAACTTGCAGGAATCGGTCATATTTGAAGTGACCTTCATGTGGCAGGAAAGGTTCATGGTCAGTTTCTTCAGAAATTCACATGCTGTTTCTCAGGAACTTGCAGGAGTTTGGTCACATCCGAAGTTGACTTCCATGGTTCGAGTTCATGACTTGGGCGTCAGGCAGCCAAGGACTTGGAGGCCGGCGGCTTTGAGCATCTTGGTGGCAAGATGCCTTGATGGGTGTTCAATAGCAGGAAAATACGGCCCAAAAAGCGGGTGCATTTGTTGGGTGATGTGGCAAACGGATTAGACAAACAGGCGTAAAACGAGGCCCCTTGCTTCAGGTTCGCAGTGTTGTTAGAGTCATCCCAATTGCAAATTATTTGAGTGTTGTTTCAATGCTGGATTTGGTTCAACCGATGCTGAAAACGTTGGCATCAACAACATGTTCCAATTCCCATCTACAAAAGCTTTGTGCCTTTCTACAACCAAGTTCCCTTCTCTGAATGCGTCCCTTACAAACAGGAGTGCTAAACCCATGAAGTCTCTCCAAAATCCAACCCACAACACGGTAGAAAAGGAAAAGGACGCTCTGAGGGGATGGAAGGAAAGGCAAGGGTCTCACAGACATATCATTGGTGAAGCTGTTGTGGATTTGGATGATCCTACTTTCACCAGTGGCACTCAAAGTAAAGAGGGAATTGGCATCAATGACCAATCTGCCAATCTGCCAGATTCTTCAAAGTGTCCTGCTTCAAGCATTTTGCCGCTAAGTCGCCTTTGAGCAGCCTAAGCGACCCCAAGCCACATGATCAAAAGGTCGAAGAAGAAGAAGAAGAAGAACCAGGTCAATATCTCGAACGATCAGACGAGTGACCCGTCTGTCGAAGGATGTTGTCCTTGAGCATCACGTCTTGACTCGGTGCCAAGACACTGATTGGACAAAATCTCTGGTCGGTGTCGGCGCTACCCCCCGGTTGGTTCAGAATGGAAAGAGGTTCTGGGAGTCTACTGGGAGTCTATGGTGGTGTCCCCTTATCCTCCCCTGGGTCGGTTTGTCGGTCAACAGAGATTTGGTCCATCAGTCATATGGCTCAAAATGATGGAACCCTTGAAGTGGGACAATTCCCTAATTTCCTCCTCCAACCTGCTAGCGAATGGCCTCCAACCTAATACTGTACCTTTCACAGTACTCCCACCGGTCACCAGGGGCTTAGACCGTGCACCGGTTTCTCAGACACATCTTCGCCACGGGCTCCGCCTTCTGCGCGCTGCGCAGCGACAGCGCGCGCGGCGGCGCGGCGCCGGTCGTGGCCTGGGGTGAGATTCTGCAGGGCGGCCGTGCACCGGAGGGGCCACCTGGCAGAAGAGCAGTGTGTTGGGGTGTGGGGGAATGAGTTCTGAAGCAGATAGGCATCAACGCGCAAGAACGGGCATCCCTCCTGCTTCCCTCGGATTTTTGGAGGGACCTGGTGTTCGTGATGAGGCAGCGCCGCAGCGCCCTAATAGAGAAGGGAAGCACTCCACCAAAAGACCAGTGACCAGTCTTTAACCTATCGGCAATGGCCTTCATCCTGATGGCCTCCACCAAGAGACCTGTGACCTTTTCGAATCGTTTCGGGTCTTGGTCGCTGCCTCAGTCGCCGGTCCGGATGAGCAGGGTGGGGTGGGTACCGAAGACCCAAAGACCCACGGGTCGCCGCAGGTCGCTGGGTTCTTCGGGCTTTCGTTTTGGAACGGGCTGTTCCAGAGTTGTGCTGTTCCACGATTGAATCTCAAAAAGGAAACGGTGTTCATAGTCAAGCTTGTTTCTTTGGAGTGCTTTGAAACTTTGGGATCAGGAACTTGCCAGTTGGCAAAGATGAAGACCAGTGGTTGGCATGCATGGTTTAGAAGGAGGAACTGCTCTTGCTCTTCCCGCCTCCCTCCTTCTCCCTCCTTTGCGCAACATCTATGTGTGTGTTTCGTACTTGTATCGACAACTTTTCTCATCGACATGTCCTGTTCCACTCGTTTGTTTCATTGATTGCACCTGGGCGGATGCCAATCTCCACGAGGTTGGAAGCCGTGCGACATATCTACGCGACGAGTGGAGGGGCCTTCGCAGCCATCCAAGAGGACACCTCCGCTGTAGAAGTTGAGGGACTCATGCAGAACACGTCAAGTCTTAGACAGAAGAATTTCAAGACGTACCACCCCAGCCTTTGGGGAGTATCTCTCCGTTCTTCTCAACGGATGACCTCTGAAATTTCTAGGCAAAGAATCTGCAAAATAGAAAGGATGTTTCTTCCTCGCACTGTCGGCCAGGATGGCGCAGTGGTCACTTGGGGCTCCAGTGTGGACGGTGGCGATAGCTGCCGAGTGCAGGAGGAGTTGAAAAGACGAGGTGTCAGGCAGGGGATGCGGTGTTCCTTCCCTAAACACTCCACCAAACGAATACAGCCCCTGTGGAAGTTGGAAGACTATCTTCCTCTACTAGGTGGTGCTTATGTTAGTTTTGGAGTGTTATCTCCCAGGATTGCCTTGGCTTTCGACCGAGTTGTCTCCAAGCTTAAAAGCTTAGCATGGTGCAGGGAGCTGCGTGCAAAAAAGAGTGATCACCACTCAACCTCTCGCATACAATCATGGGCTCTAGAAGGGGTGCTTTTTTATGTGGACGGAAGGCCTGGATGTGCTTCCCAAGGATTGGAGAAAGATGGGTTTAGGTGCATCCAAGAAAGATGGTGACAACTGATTGAAGAGCATCAGCAGCCATAGTGGATTAGAGTGTAGAGGCTATCAAGATACTCAGCAGCTCCCCCGAAGTTTATACCTAGTTCCTCCTTTGGCTTTGGCGGTGAAAATCGTGGCTCATGGGCGTGTCTCTCCCAAGATCCCCCACTGCTTTTTGATACATGTCCTGAAACAACAGGAAGGAGACGAGGAATTGAAGGACATTGGATCATTAGCTATAGTGATGTCTACTATGGCACGAAGGAAGATACTTACTTGGTATATGATATGCAGTTGGTCCAAAATTTGTATTGTGTGATCGCGTGAGCAGTCTTATGCGTGTTGAAAGTGCTATTTCGCAGAGGTGAGAAAAAGCAGGGAAAGAGCCTTTTTGGGCACAGCTCCAGCAATCCAGCGGGCACCCCTTGATACACGAAATATATCCCTCGCCAAATCATTTGCAAGGAAAAGGCATGGTTCAAAGATCCTTTTCCTGTGCTGCAAATTGCAATGCACTCCATGCAAGAACTTTCCTGGCGGTGCAACACCAGTGGTATGGTATACGACACCTAGTTATTCGAAAAGGATTTCTCCCCGCCCCGAAGGGTCGCCCTGTCTGTCGGAATGCTTCGCGCCGATCACACCGATCAGAAACTTGGGGTCACGGCCCTTGGCGGCTGTGCTGAAGGCCTTTAGCCCTTGGAAACGTGAGACATCACATGCGACGGTGTGCAGGGACATCTATTCCACCGACTCCGCCTTCGCTGCCCTCACGGCCGATGGCAGCTTGTGGGCAGTTTGGAGCCGGGTTTGAGATGTGTTGTGAAGGTGGTTCTCATATTAAAGAGTTTTCAATGTACTCCAGAATGATATGCACCATTCCAATCACAATTTAATGTAATAGTCCCATCACCTGACATCGTTCTTGGCGCTCTAGGACCTTCGGGATGCCCCGTGCCTTTTAAGTTGGAAGAAGCCCTTGCAGAGAGTTTGTCCCGCCCCAGGAGGCCCTAAGCAGGTTTCAGTTGCATCGGTTTCTTGGGTCATGTTCCAGTCCAAAAAGAGGTTGCTGTTCTCCATCCAATTCTGGCGCTGAACGGCGCCGGCGACGAACGATCCAAAAAGGACTCTCGTTCGTCCGAGGCGACCGTCTTCTCTCGTTCGTCCGAGGCGGTCTTCTCGCTTGGGGCAATGCACGCCTGGGTGGCGTGGCACCGGGGGAGGAGGCCCTGCGGCGAGGCCTGGGACCGTGGAAAGCGCGGCAAGACAACGGGAGAAACGCTTTCCAAATGCTCCCTTGGGTTCTTATGAAGGCAAATCTTCCCAACTCGTTACTAGTAGCCATGCTCTTGTGACTAGTAGCGGTGCCAGGAGCCCCGAACGTAGCGTCCGATCGCTCCTAGTAGTAAGACCAGGAGTAGCTTCTTGTTCCTAGTAGTCATGCCCTTCTTACTAGTAGGGATGCCCTTGTTACTAGTCGCTACTTTAGGATGAAGGCAAATCCTGTACAAAGTGCTCCACCTTCATGATAGATAGGAAGTGATAGGATCCCTCAACCAAAAATCCACTGCTTCACCGTCCTCCATCTCAACACTGCCAACGTCACAGGTGGCGTGCGACACCTTTGCAGCACTGCCGGTGCCTTTGCCGCGCGCTGCGGCGACGGCGCCCTGGTCGAAGCAGGGGACTTTGGTTCATCCACCTGGTCGGAGTGAATCGAAGCCGACGCAAGTCATCTGATGGAGCAGAGGCACCTCACTGATCAAATTTGATCGGAAACAGCCCGATAGTTCCTGCATTTTACCAGGTTGTACAGGTGCTTTAAGAGCAGCTACCTGTAGAAGATTCGTGAAAGCATGAAGCAAAAGTGATCTGGCATTATATTCCAAGTCTTCACTTTGGGGGACCCCGCCATCCTCATCAGGTACAGTGCTTTGCTGGGGCCTTGCAGAGTGGGGCGGCAGCTGTCGTGCCATTTGCGAGGATCTGAAAGAGGTCACTTGGCAAGATCCTTGAGACATGCACACCTGTAGTGAATGGGAGTCAAAGACTCCAAGAACTATGCCAAGAATTGAAAAGAGTGTTGTCTTCACTCCATGAAAAGACCTTTCGTTTTAACATGATCGGTCTTGGGTCCAACAGGATGCCGTATGGGGGGTTATGGAGGAAGCCACCATGTCACCATGCGGTCCTTCCATCCCTTCATCGACGGTCAACATCGGTCAGGAAACATAGTGATAGAAAAAGTGCCTGCCAAGAGGTCGTTTCAAGCATTTAAGAAGCTACCAGGAGCAAGGACGCTACTAAAGGAGTATTGTCCAATTCATTACCTCCCATACACCCCTAGGAACTGCTCCCAGGTCCGCTTCCTCCACAGCACCTCGCGCGCCTTCGCGGCGCAGCGCTACGATGGCCGTGTGCTTTGCTGGGGCGACGCCAACAGCGGTGGCGATGTGGAAGAGGCGTCAAAAAAAAGCACAGGGGGAGGTGTGTTGGTGAGGCACGCGGATGTTTTTCAGGAAGGGTTGGGTACGGGTAGGGTTGGATAGGATAAGGTAAGGGTCCAACACTTCGAGGCTAAGCCGGCCGCGGGCGTTTGCTGAATGAATCCGGCGATAGTTTAAGCATTGGCGACCTAGGTTCTTTTCGATGGCCATAATCAGTGATCTAATGAAGAACAGGTGTAGTGGTGAGTATGGTGAGTCACACATGAAGTCGTGATCCTAGGCACTTCATAGGATTGGAAAAAGCCAAGACAAGTCTCACATGTCCTTGACCTCGCCGATACATGTGATGCATCGTGGGATTGGTCTCCCTGCTGTTTCGAGTACGTTCCAACCTCGATTGACTGAAGGCAAACCTATCCCGTTCTGTCTCAAGCTGAGTGCTCCTGTTGGATAAAGGCTAGACATCATCCACTAGAGGCCCACTGCTACTTCGGGCAGAAAGAACGCTCTGCTTTTTGAACAGTTGCTAAAACAGTGAAACGAAACAACATTAGAAAATAAGAACTTGAGGAATTCAATGGAGGAGGTGTCTGACCCATACGTGTTTGACCAAGGGAAATCGGTATTCTTTTTTGTTGTCAATATTACGACCTCCGATAGACAAGTGATCCCTTTTGAGCATCCTTTGAACAATCGTTCTGTCTCTCGTGAAGCCAGGTGGATAGAAAATGCCGATCTCTTGTGTTTGCTTTTTAAAGCCGTGTCGTTTTGGTAAATCTCTTGGGGTGTGCCCCTCACAGAATTCACGTATGTTGGCCAGGTTGAGACACAGCTGGCATGCGACATCGCGCATGACTCTTGGTTCCGTACGTGTTTGGTCCAAAGATTTGTAGCAAGGGACGTGTGGGAAACGTTTGAAGAATAACGCCAAGCATGACAGTGCAGGCTGCGAGCTCTCAGAGCTCGCAGCCTGCACTGTCATGCTTGGCGTTACTTTTCCAGCGATTTGCTATGAGTAGCGTGCCCTTTTCTGGGGCTGGATCAATCCTCACAGTTGAGTGCCGGAGCGATAATTTGAAAAGCTCTTCAGAAGCCACCCAGGGATGCCACTGGATCAAATCCTACCAGGACCCTCCAACAGGTGGTGTTGGGACACCGGATTGAATCCACCCAGGAACGGCGCAGAAACATTTGGTTGAGAGAGGTGTCGGCGTCGAGCTGGGGTGCCAACAAACAAGTTCTGCGTCTTGCGGTTGTGGACCAAATGGGCGACCCATCTTCTCCATTTTGTCGAGCCTTTTGACAGAATTGCTGAGATGGATTTGAAATGGTGTTTGTAGATTGCAAGGTGCTTGACCATGTGAAATTGCAAAAGAGACGCCTCTCTTTGTGCGAGGGACCCTAATTTGTGCGTTTGTGTCAAGTCGGTTCTTCCCCAAAGCGTTGACTCGGATCGACACTAGCAGAGCACAACGAGAATGGCACCAGCCGTGCTTTGGTGAACCCGACCTTGGGACATTCATCTTGAATGCGCACCATGCGTGCATGATAAAGCATGGAAGACTGCCCCAAAAAAAGGCAAAGCAAACTCTGCATCTTCCAAAAAAGAATTCTTTCAGAAGTCTTTTGTCTCCTCTTGGGGAGGGTCCTTGATTTCTCGCGCTCCCTCAGGTCTACCCCTCCTCCTGTGGCTTCGCAGCAGTTGCGCTGGATGGGCAGCTAGTGACCTGGGGCGGGCGCCGCGGCGAAGTGGCTGAGGATCTCACGGAGCTGCTGAAGTCCTTGCCGCTTGGGACAGGAACGGGTGAGGGGAAAGGACTGGCCGTTGAAGGCCAGGGAAATGCGGGAAATCACCATGACTTGGGACTTGGATGAGAGGAAATGACCTTGAATGTGTGTGGAACACACCTTCTCATCCGACACATTCTCATGTCTCATCCGACACATATCCACAAAATCCTAAAAATGATTGTGTCTCTATCTCGGCATCACAAAGTCAGCAGGTCAGGCGTCCTGGAAAGCAAGAGGACGCTCAAATTTTGCGAAGTCCTGGCAGTGACATCTCTGAATGTTTGAGACCTCATGGCGACCAGAGGACTTCTGTCAGTTTTTGCGGCTCAGGCATGGACAGGTGCAACACATCTATGCCACCGAGAATTCCTTCACGGCCTTCACAGCCAATGGCACAGGCAAGATATCATGAGTTGACCATGGAGACATCCCACCAAAGGAAAGCATCATCCGCTACTTTCATGTCTGAAGAACATTGAGGGACATATTGCCATTGTTGACGGACATGTTCAGGTAAAGCCTCCTAGTAGCGATGGCCTCCACCCTAGTATGAATTGCTCTTGCAAAGCCTCCGCACCACCGCACGTTAAGAGCACTGCACGAGTTCGCTCGCGCTGGAGGCTTTACGTGGGGCGCGATGGGCCTCGCAGAGATCAGCCACTTCCGAGAAGCGGAGAAAAGCAGATCCACCGTGGGGGCCTGGGGCAGGGAGGTTGGCTCGGGAAGTGGCTGGAAAGCAAATTGACCAAGGAATCGAGTGGAATCCTGTTATCAGCATTGCCGTGGATTGGAGGAAGAGTCCAAATGGCCAAGATGACCAGGGCAATTTTTTCGGTGTGGGAAGGCGATGCACTCAATTTTTTCAGGTGTTGGCGTTTATGAAGCCTTCCACAACTCACTTTCGCTCAAAGCCTGTGGCGGAAGGAAGAGTCGTTAAACCTTGATTTGCTGATGGGGTGATGTTGATGTTCTCAATTCGTGAATCCCTAAAGCTGGTGAATATGCTTTTTTTCCCGGTTCCTGGACCAGCAAATCATTGACGTTAACTGGTCTATTCCCAGCTTGGATGGTTGGGATGCTGCTGAGTACACCAAACTGAAGGGAACACAGACCGAAGCAGACTGGTCGGGGCGTCTCGCGCAAGCTGGGGGTGTCGCGTTGGCCACCGTTTGGGCGAGAAGCAGTCGATTTGAGATTATGAAAAGCATCCCCTCGACTCAATGGATCATCCACCAGTTGCTTTGCCAATCCACTTCATCCACAGGCACAGACCATTCTATCAAAGAGTCCCTGATGAGCAGGGATTACGACATAAAAGGTCAGCTCCACGTTCAACATCGTTCAAAAATTGATTTAACTCGTTTTGATATCGACTTAAATGTTTCTTCCCGGCTCCCAACGCAGTGTTTGAGCTCAGCGGACACTGGACGCAGTGGGCTGCTAGGCAATCCAGGCCTTGATTCTGAAAGTGAAGACGGGGTGTGGTTCAAAGGTAGAGAAGCGCAGGCCACTTATAGCTTTGTGATGCTTTGTGTGGACACACATTGATTTATTTATGCACCGGGAGGTGTGTTTGGCCCATTACTTGAAACCAGAAGCTCTTTGCGACACTACAACTGCTGTGCTTGCAAAAGTTTATTTAGATGACTTCAGGTTCAAGGATGCTGTAGTTGCGTAACATTTGAGCTTTTGTTACTTTTTTGTCATTGGTGTGATATCCTTTGCACCCTGTCCGGCAGGCATGGGTGATCCTCGAGATGTGCTTGGTGTGAATCCATCAGCCACATGGCCCGAGATTCGCCAAGCTTTTTTGAGTCGCTCAAGAGAATGTCATCCAGACAAGCGGCCAGAGTCAGAGAAGGAGGCTGCAACCAAGGAATTTCAGAGGCTCTATGAAGCCTATGAGGTTTTGAGAAGCCAGTCAGACCCCGAGGAGGATGAGGGATATACTGGAAACACGCCATGGGACAGCATGGCACAACAGGGGACTCCCTTCAGCGCAGATGCTCTTCACAGCATTTTTCTGCCGCGGGATTTTCAATGTGAGATGGATTCGGAGTATGCAGACTGCGATGTGCTCGCAAGTGTCAACATGGTGTCCAGTTCCAGTGACTGGCCAGCGCCATATGTGGATATCATTTGGTCATTGGTGCATCGGCCCACAAAACAGTTCATGTACCAGACCTTGCTGTCCCTAGAGGTGGGCCAAGCAGCAGCTTTCTGGCTTCGTGCGCAGAATGCGGTGCTGCATGTGGAGCGGGCAGAACGGCATGTTGCCGTGCTTTCAACCTGGCGAGTGCAGTTGCCTTCAGGCGGGAGCGGTGCACGGCACATCGTCGGCACTCATCGTCACGAAGAGAACGATCCTGGGGAAGATTTGAGGGGTTGCGTCGCGACATGGGGATCAACCTCTTAGGCTATAGAGCATCCCTGATTTTCCCTTTGGCAATCGCTGCGGTCTGTGGCCGCAGCTTCCCTCCTTCGTGCCACTGCGAAATCTCAACAAAATGAATAGATGGATTACATCAAATGGGTTTGAAGGAGGGTATTTGGGAGACTGTTCCTTCCAAAAGTACTCAGCCAGAGCCTGCATGTCCACGGGGATCCTCCGGATGCCGCAGGCGAAGTGATGGCCACCGTCCCACCCTCTATGGCCGTGCCAGCATTTGCGACGCGTGTGAGCTGGGAGCGAGTGGCGCATCAAGCATTTTGCAAAGTGGCTGCACATTTGGCGGAGGAGGAATCTCAGCATATCATTCAAGACCCCTTTTTTGTATCCCTTTCATGCCAAAAATTCCTAGTTTGCTAAAGAAGCTGTATTTAAAAAAAGAAAACACAAGTCTACGGATTATTTAAGTGACCTGTGTTATCGAATTATTTGAACTCACTTGGTTTGTGGCTGTAGCCACTTCCGAAAGCTTGTCTCAAACTTCGACACATAAGGCATTGCTGCAGGCAGACAGCCGAGTGAAGGGTGACCCCTCACTTCCTGTTGTGATCATCGACTATTTGCTACCAGTGCTTTGTGGTGAAGCAGTACACTTGTCAACCAGCGAGCTTGTTTGGAAGAAGGCTCCTCGCCTTTCTTTATATGTCGAAATGTGACATGTCACATATCATATCCTATGTTTGGATATGTTTGCCAGGAAAAAAACAGCAGTTTGACGATGGGTCATCTCGCTTTGGGAGGGTTGGTCAGCATGTGTTGAGGATAAAAATGAAGGTTGGAGGTACCATGTCTTATTATTCAGGGTAGACGAGCTACGAGTCGGTTTCTGTGCACCTTCAGGTCGTTCTTGTTCGATTTCATCCAGTCCTGGAGTGGTGCGATTCAGAACGTGTTCAACCATCTTCCTGTGGATGAACATCCCCCAGGTCTTTGTTGCCCCAGCTCCTAGTAGCTTCTTGTTCCTAGTAGTAAGGCCAGGAGCCCCGTTCGTAGCGTCCGATCGCTCCGTTCGTAGCGATGCCCTTTGCTCCGTTCGTAGCGTCCTCTCCATCCTATGCCATCCTCCCTTCTTCGGCCCAAGAGTTCGAAAGACTTCGGTTTCCACGAGGTCCGGGATGAAGTGCGCCACTCGCAGTTTGGGGGGCCCATTCGCCGCGCTGCGGCCTGGTTTGTGGTCAAGAGCGTCTTGCACTTCGAGTGCTGTCGCCAGGGGTCACCAGAAGCTTACAAGATGCTTGGCCTCCAACCTAGTAGCGTCCGATCGCTCCTAGTAGCGATGCCAGGAGCCCCTAGTAGCTTCTTGTTCCTAGTAGAAAGGCCAGGAGCCCCTAGTAGCGTCCTATCGCTCCTGATAGCAAGATGCTTGGACTTTGCTTTGTGAAACCTTTTTGTTCCACCAAAAGAACAAGAGATGGGCCTTTTTAATGGCGTGTTCATTCGATTCATTCGCGTGTAGTGTGACTGATTTTTGGTGATGGCTGCAGGCTGCAGTGCGTTTTCTGGCAACCCTATGTTTGATTAGACTTTGCTCAGCGGACTTGAACATGTTTGAACCAAGGCTATCAAGTGATGCCCTGGTTTGTCTCAATGCGGGTGAATAGTATTTGCAAGCCAGAATCAATGCCTCAATTTTTACAATACGTAAGTTTGCAATGTGAATTGATCACGACGGATACTGCCTCGAAGAGATTCGTTCTTCATTCACAAGTACTCCTGACCGCAGCAATGCGTCCCACCTTGGATCAACCCCCTTCTTCTATTGCAGTTGTATCCACTCAAGAGCACACTGGCTGTTTGAGGACAATGATCTTGCAGATTCATTTAGAAGGACTCCGCCACATTGAGAAGCTGGAGCCTTCAGCGAGGCGAGTCAGGGTCATCGTTTTGTGTAGTAAACCCACATTTAAGTTGAGAACCAAGCTGTACTTTGAAATCCCGAGGCACAAGTTTTAGGCTCAGTTCCTTGATCTAGCTTTAAGGTGGCAAGCATCCAAGCACCTGCAAGAGTGGGTTTTTTTCGTGAAACCTGGAACCCCGAAGTGGTGATTAAGGGAGTTTCCGTGGACAGGTCGAATGAGCCGGATTTGACCGGAGGACGGCTGACCGAGTTTGAGAAAGCAGGGCCTTGGGCCAATTTGAACCTGAGCCTGGTCATCATATTCACAGGTCTAAAATTGGAAAATGTGATTCCCTGTTCACCACCACCTCCATGTGTTTGTTGGTCGCTAATCACCGAAAGGGAGTTAAAAGGTGCTGCCATTTCCAACCTGCGCTTCGTCGTCTCGTGCAGGTTGGAAGCTTGCCGCAAGGTGCTGCGCCGCGCGGTGAAGTTGACGAGCTCAGCTCCGTCGTCGGACCAAGTGACGCGGAGGACCGGCCCGCGGCGGTGACCGGCGCGTCCGGCCCGGAACGCGACCGGAAGAGCGCGGGCAGGAGGTGTTGCCAAAAGAAGGCACTGTCACAGACCTTTTACAGGTCTTTTCCTGCACAGGTTCATTTAACCTCCCCTTAGTTTGATTGTAAAACCTCTTCATAATCTTCATATGGAGTGGGTTTTGCTTATTCAAGAGTCAATCTGTCTACATGAGCTGTGGTGTATCGAAATTGGTGACAAGATCGTGACCGACACGAACTGATGCAATTCCTGTGTCGTGGCACGGCAGATTGTCACGCGTCGCGCACGTCGCGTTCTGATACTGACGTCTTTCATCAACTCTTGGGAGCGCGATCGCTGCGGAGTCGCCTAAGTTGGGTCTGCAAGAGGTAGGTGCAGAATGCGAAAAAGAATGCGCCAATTGCAACAGCCGCAACAGCGCTAGATGGCGTAGTGCTGTAGAATTCCAGCATTTGTTCGAATCTAGGTGATGGGATTCAGAGCTGTTCAATGTCTTCGTTTGCTGCCTGCAGGAGCGCCTTGGAGGATGTGGAGGGTGCAGTCCAGCCGGTTCTGGATGCCTTGCAGAGGGAATGGGACGAAGTGTCGCAGAGGAAGGGTTGAGCATGGCAATTCGTTCACCCGTGTTGCAGGGGCTTGAGCACGAAAACATCGTATTTCCAGCAGAGTTGCTGTTCGCCGAAGCACCAAAGAATCCCAAAGGAGGATTTAGACATCCAAACTGCTGTTCGTTCACATGTATATATAATGCACAGCCCAACCCCCGGTGCGTTCGAGGAGGGTGGCATGTGAAGTGGATGCTGGACGGATTTGCTTCGAGCGGGATGTACATCATCAGCTTACATCTTCCATGCCGACCATCGAGAAACTTCTCACGGCCGACCATCAGTGTTCTTCCTGCAGCAAGGCTGGTCCCGTCGGGGGTATGAAGAGCTGTGAAGTGGTAGCAACTGTTCTGTGATGATTTCTATCAATTCAAAATATAGATTGATATGATATGGGCATGTCTCAAGGTAAAGAAACAAGTTTGGGACGGGCGCATGTGTTTGGCATAAAACACTGCAGTTTACACTGTGTAAAGCTGTTTGTCCCTGGACGGATGGCTTACAAGTAAGTTTCTGGCTTGATACATCTTGATGGAAACCAATGTTTGAGTCTGGCTCATATGAGAAATATGCACCAGAGAGTCAATCAAGCCAGGAGGTATTCCAGATGAGTCTGGTTTGGTTGATGAGTCTGAAACCCAGATCAGTTCTTGAATAAGAGGTGATCCACCAAGACTCGTCAAGATTCCACCGAAAACGCGGAAACGGCACGCGTTTACTCCCTCTCCTCACCCCGTAAGGAGCCACGCTCGTTTTAACGGGGTGAATCTTCGCCCGCCAGGTGCCCTGTCCACCGGGCATCCGACGTGGTCGCCCATCCGTCGAAGCACATGCTCCTCACTTTCGCTGGAGAAGATGTTTGCTGATTTTTGTTTTGTTTGTGGGATCTAGAGCGCCGAAAGGGGCAGAAAGCTTAGAAACAAGGGTCCCCAAAAAAAAGGAACATCGCACCCATCTAGTAGTAGTGGAAAAGAATCTCTTTAAATCCACTCAAAAGTGTTCTTTGCTTCTGGTGATGGCACTTCACAGTGGATCGAGGCTCAGATCCTTGCAGCCTCCGTGTCAGACCCGTTCGCGGCCTTGACCACGCTGTGGGATGCTGAGGAGTACATCTTGCACGTAGCTTGTCGGACTCGCTTGGGAGTCGTGTTGTTGGAATAGACAATGTTACAGACGAACAGACGAATTCTGCTGCCGGATCAGTTGGTTTGCATGGTTGCACTGTGAAAGTACAGGGTTTGGGCTAAGAGATTTCGTGTGAGAAGACAGCAGTGGGGAATTGGAGTGTTCGGAATTGATTGCATGTGAAGACATTTGTTCACAACAATCAAGTTCAAGGCCAAATGGCAATAGCTTCTGTGGATGTGGTAAGTGCAAATCACCCCAAAAATCTATTGAAGATCAGCTTCTCTGACTGTCCTGCTGGTTTGCGACTGCATGAAGACATGAGGGGCCAGAGGTGTTTTGAGATTTCCGGGTTGTTTCCATACAGCAAGCAGCTCCGCTGCTCTTGGCAAGGCCTGGGAGGACCCTCAGCAACTTGCGAATGAAGTTCTGCACTTCCGACAGCAGCTTGGTTGGCCTTTGGAACTGAACTGTTCAAGTGAGTTGGAGTTTGAAACTGGAGTTGTTTGTTGGAATGCTCGTTTCTCTGTCGGCATCCGACATGAGTACCCAACGACCAGTCACAAATTCCATGGAAGCGGTCATGGTCACACACCAAGAACATGTTTCCAACCGAGCCTTGGGTAGTTGGTATACGGTATACGGAGTGTTTCATGTCGCATTTGGCTTAGTTGCTTCCCTGCACCAGTGTGTTTTGAGTCCGACCGGCTGTGCATGTGGCAGTCCCACCAGGTTGCTGCCGCGCTACTTGGCGCGCAGTGCGGAACTCTACGCCGGTGATCCAGAGGGTTTGAGCAGGAGAGTGTTGATTGGATCATGTACCTGGGCGTGCGTCAGGGGATATTGCAGCCGAAGCATAGAATAGATAGTATAGCGATGGCCTCCAAGATATATATTAGGTGGCAAGGTCTTTATGTGTAAGGTGGACATTGTATGGGGTTGATCTGCAAAGTCCGACAAATAAACGAATTCCACTGTCGATTGGAGATACCGAGTCGGTCAAGGCTTCAGTCACTAGTGGAAAACTAGGGGGGTAGAACTGGAATCAGTTAGTTCAGAACCATAAGAACCACTCTAAAGACCTAAAGCCAAAGCGGTGCTGGTGCAAATTCTTGGCGTGTTGGAAATGTCGAACCAAGGTATGGCTCTCCTGGTGGATGCCAATGCTTGTGCAGAATTTCCCGTCTTGAAAGAGCATTATGTGGGTGTCGATGTCTCCATGCTCTCCAGTTTGTTGTTGCCACTTGCAAGGCACAGACGACTCCTAGACCAGTTGGAGAAGTATGTTTGGGCTCGGGATGCAGAAGCCAAGTTCCCCAGCACCATCAATCCAACCGTTGACTCCTCTGCCTTCGCAGTGAGATATCAAAAAGCGGCACCTTCAGCCATGAGGGCCTGGCAAGACATGGAGGATGTGCGGTCAGAGATCTTGAAGCGATGCCAAGAGAATCAAGCCCGGAAGCGGAAGGAGGTCGAAGAGAAGAAGTTGAAGCACCAAGAGCTACTTGAGACTGCCGAAGCAAAACAGGATCAGGCCGCGAGGTTGTCCTGCCTATACACAGATTGTTCCTCGGCAAATTATGGCAGCGAAAAGGTGTTAATGTCAAAATCCGTTTTCACGACTTGGCTCTTCCTGCTTTCGCTGGCTAAGGTTGGAACAGCTATGAAGAACGTTGGGAGGCGCGGCACAGCGCATCCTGCAGACGATGTAGCCTCGTCAAAGAAGCCGAAAACATTCAGCTTGAAGCGGCCAGCATCGAGGTGGATCTGGGTTTGGATGTCTTTTTGGGGCACGGGAAGGTGGCCCTTAACGCGATGCCCACGCAAGACCTATTTTTGGAGCCTCAGACCTCAGAGCGTCATAAAAGACACACGACATTTCACTATAGACAGCAAAACATAAATGCATTGTTTCCCAAGTCATGCTATGCGGTTGAACTCAGAAATCAGTGCTGATTGTTCAGGTCGGCTTCTACGAAAAGTTGCTGCCGGATAACGAGGAACTACAGCGAGGGATCGTTTATGACTTGAGGATTCCTGAATTGCTGGCGCTGCAGCGAGATGCGGTTTTAATGTTGGCGGAAGCCTGCGTGCCCAAAGATCTCACCCATGATACTTCCTTTTCGTCTTCTTGGAGAGAGGAGGATACCCTACAGCAGTGGCAAATCAAGATGGTCATGATTTCTGAGCTTGGTGCAACCACAAAAAAACACCAAGGTGCCGGATTGAACTGTCCCCTGTCCAACCATCGTTCTGTGATGTTCTATGTTTCATGCCAGGTACACTGGTACACTCTGACTCATTCACATGGAAGTGGAAAGTGGTCCCCTTGGAAGACAAGTTTCCTTTTCGAACAGGGGCGTTTCCACCTCCCAATGTGACGCCTTCGTCGGAGCGTTCAGCCCGGACCAGGCATCAGGCACGTTTTGGAACATCCCACCTTCATCGTGCCAAACCGGCGCGATGTTTGCCTTCTGCTACGTGGGAAGCGAATCAATCATCCATTGGCTTGGTGTGTGCGATCCTTAACATGTTTGAAGACCACAGATGAGCACTTTAGAGCCCTTCAACCATTTATCTCATCTTGGGAGCACGATGAGAACATGGTGATCGCCAGCAAGGCAAATGCTTCCTTTTTGCAATAATCCCCACAAGAATTGGAGCCTCAGTAAGACCAAGCTGGCTCAGTGGGCTGCCTGCTCCCCACTGTTCAAGGCAAACGACGGTTCAGTGGAACAAGTGATTTTGGTGGGTCTCTACCCAACAACCAACAAATTTGGATTTCATCAAGAGAATTGCCCATCAGGGATTTGGGAGCTCAGGCTCACCCAGCGCTGCATTTGCTGGAATTTGAAGCCTATGGCACCCTACGAGCTGGTTGTGGCCTTCAATTACCTCGACTGCTGCGGGCGATTGAGCAACGCACACTCTCCTTTCAACGTCAGGGAGTCCTTGACTTGTTGATGGCTCTCCTGTGGCTTAGCTGCGCAAGCCGAACCGGCTACAGCGGTGGAACAGCAGTGAAAGACACTCCCATATCAGCCGGCCCAGTTAGAAGAAGTTGTTCAACATTGTTTTAACGAGTCCTTTTCAGACCAAGGAGGCCAAGTTGCAAAAAACCAGTCGCTGGTCACAGTCTCTAAGCTCCAAACTAGGCCCTATAGGCCTTCTGTCACCCAAAGACCAATCCCTGTCGTTTTCCCGCGTCTTCAAGAGCCCAGCGAGTCCTCCGACCGACTCGCAGGGTCGTCCCATCCCTCTGGGAGTCTCTGAGGTGGCAAGTTGGTCCTCCCAGGCGGCAGAAGGTGGATCGTTTGGATCTGAGCCAAACAGAAGACTGGCTTCGTCACAGCTTACAGCAGGTGGAACCCTGACATGTTTGGGGCAAACTTTGGAGGTGTTCACCCCTGGAAGAATGGAAGAGGAAGTTGCTCAATCGTTTTGAGAAGATGTTGATGGCCTCAAAATCGTGACCCAAGGAGCAGGCGGATTTTGCAGAAAGGCTTTGCCACCACGTCAGCCGCCTCCTACGACATTCAGAGGACAACTGGTCCAACGACAAGGTGCTCCTCGGGATTTGCCAGATTGCGCGCTGTATTGTGGAGCACTCGACCTCAGGCTTGGCTTTTGGCTGATCTTGAAATGGTGTTGAGCAAGAATGTCATACTCTTACAATATCACAGAAGTTGGGAGGATGATTTCTTCAGCACAAAACATGATGTACTATGGACGTCTTTCATTGTTCATAACACGCTCGCTTTTCTCAAAGTCGTCTTTCAAGTTTTCGAGTATCAGGAAGGATCGGAACCTCACTTGGTTTTGCTGACATGCAATTGAGCTAGGACAGCCAACTTCGCTTTCGAGACGAACATAAAAACGCAAGGTGAAACTGGGCATCGCTACTAGGGGCAAGGACGCTACTAGTAGCTCCTGGCATTATACTACTAGTAGCAAGAAGCTACTAGTAACAAAGGGCAGGGTGTGGGCCGCATGGAGCATGAGAGGAAGACGGGGGAAGATGCTTCTTGTTACTGCGATGCTTGGGCAGGTGCGCCTGCCGCGCAGGCGTTGCTCTTGGAGGCAAGGCAGGTGGCCTTGCGGTGGCTGCGAGACGTGCAGCGTGTGATGAGCGGCACCGAGAGCGCAGAAGTGGTGAAAGGGCGACCAGGTTGCAGGTTGCAGTGGGTTCGATCAGCTACCAATGAGCCAAGCAATTTAAAGCCATAGTCGATAGTCCACAGTCACTAGCTAGATGTTACGTGGGTGAAGCCGTTTTGCTGAAACGTGGCCTTTGTTTTGGCCACTTGGCTTGATCGTTTCTGTACTAACAGAAGATAGCATCTATGGTGCTGGTCGACTCCCTGGTTGCTTTAGCTTGTAAAGGAGAAGGTGCGGACCATGACGATCACCACTAGATACCTATGGCCAAAAGCCATAGATATTCTCCAAAAATTGTCAAAGGCTTACTAGGTTGGAGGCCATTGCTTCTAGGTTGGAGGCCATTACTAGTAACAAGAAGCTACTAGCAGCTTTTTGCTAAAGTGAACTCGGGAATCGCCATCGCAGTCTGATAACTCAGTCTTTGGGTTCCCCAACGGCTAGCATGGACATGCCGAGTGATCAACTCCGGCTTTTTCAGGCTCCAAAATTTGGCTCGACCGACCCTGACGATTTCAAAGTCCCTTCCTTCCAACCATGATGAGCCTGAATTCAAGAGATCTCAACCAGTGAGTGTTTTTGCAAAGATGTATAGTAGTAGATGATAAAGCTATATGAGACCCAAATATTGGTAGACTGTCCAACACTTGACTGCTTCAGCCTGAGGCTGCGCATGAAGCTGGTTGACATCGCGGCCACTGCTGCGTTGACCTTTCACGGTACTGGGAGCGCCGCGATCAGCGACAGCAGCTTGAAAGACTGGTTAACTGCGAGGGCGACGGCTTATGACAACATTCTTCTGAGCACCACCCAAGTGAAGAACATGGAGCCATGCAGGAGACTTGGCGGAAGAAGACGCTCTCAAGCGTCATCATTGTTACCAGGCAATAGCTGCACTGTTTTGGCGAGGAGTAATGATTATACTATGTTTGAACAGTCTTGTTCAAACGACCCTGGCAGAGTATCACCAGGAAGAGGCCTGTACCAGGTGGCTTGTTAATCGAAAAGTCCAAACATCATCTTTGCCGGTGAACCTTACGAATTCACCGCTGCGTATGAGTCAAAGTATCAAAGAGTTGTTTGTGCGCGCACCCTATTTTTGTTCACCTGGCGAACCTCAGGAAACAACTTCTCTACCAGGCAAGGAGGAATGCTTTGGACCTGGAGGACCAGCTACACCAGGTGATCAGCGATGGCCAGACACTCTCTGCATGGCTCCTGGAGCATTGGAGCGATTCTCAGGGAGGCCAACTGGGCCATTGGGAGCGCTACGAAGCCCCAGCAGAGCGTTGGTACAAGGCCTAAACAAATCTCAGCAAAATGCTTCCAACCCAGCTGATTTGTTCAATAGATTTGGGGAGAGTGATACGTCATTAGTTGGTCTTTAGGGAGGCATGGTTGAACGGTTGAATAATTGGTTCATGCCGGAAGTTTGGGGTTCATATTTGGATGCGTCCCACAAGCACTTGTTCTGCTTTTAGACTGCCACGAGGTGAGCTTTCACCGTGAAGACGAGAGTTTGATCCAGGTCGATGTTTTGGAAGGAGCCTTTCTGGTCAATGGCAGGCAGCAAGGGACAAGAATTGGTGTTTGGAAACCAAAGTGTCTTGTGCCATCAGTGGGTATGGTTTTCTTCAATTTTGATCTAAGTGGTGAAGCCAATTGTGGCAGATATAGCTTTCTAAGATTCGAGTGAGTCAATCCAATAGGTGTAATTGAACTTCACAAGAAAGAGCGCATACTTTTTCATGCTTGGAGGCCAGTTGGCCGCTTGCCCTCACAAATCTCCCAGAGCGACGTGTACGCACGACTCTTCCGGGATAGTGTCTTCGATGTGCAGCCAGCACATCATGGAGAGGGCTTCAAGACCATGAGGGTCAGCGGTGCGATGTTTGGCTTCTTTGTGGATGAGGATGGAGATGTGATCATCACAGAGGAGCGAGAGATTGCTGGTCAACTTGTTAAGGCGACTTTGGTTCCACACGAGGCTTTCCAGGATGATCTGCCAATCTCTTTGATTGAAGATCACAGCCATTGGCTGGTGGAGGAGGATGGTAAAGCTTTCGTGTATTTCCGGCCTGTACGATTTGATGACAAGGAGTTTACCAAAGGTTGCTCGTTTGAGGGCTCAAGCTACGTTCTTGACCTGACGTCTAGGAACATCATTCAGACCCAAGAGAAGTGGGAGCTGATAGATGTTCGCAGTGGCACCTTTGAGGAACTCTTTCGGGTGTTCAGTCGCCTGGAAGACCCAGGATCTGGGTTGGACACCAAAGATGGTCTCAAAGAAAACACATGTTCAATCACTGCTGTTGACTCACTGTTGACATGGAATTCTTGTAGGAGATTCTGGCGCTCTGTTCCGATCCCTGCCAAGGACGCATTCACGTTTTCCATCGACATGGTGAAGATACAGTGGCATTCCTGCCAAGGCTGGTTCCGCTGGCTGTGCGTCCGGTCAGGAGAATATGGTGGAACTGAAGGTCTGTCGAACTTGTTCTGCTTTCCTCAGCACGGTCACATGTCTTTGAGTCTCAATAGTTTCAGAATGCAGGATTGTAATTCCGATAAGTCATCCGTGACAAGCATGGGCTTCCAGTGGAGTTCCCAGAGTGTCTTGACATCAACAATCTAGCTACATACACCTCAATGACACAGTACAACTTAACGACGGCGGATTTTCACCTGAATCAGGCTGCAGAATCTGTGCTTCAGCATCCACTCTGGTAACATGTCCGATATCCGCATCACATCCCGCGACTTTGGCGGAGATGTGGCAGAAGATCAAAACCTCGGTACCTTGATCGGACTACAACGTGGCTTGCTGTTGCAAACCAACCACGAGAAGAAGCTGCTCATGCCTCATGCAGAGGTGGTGAGGGAACTCAGTTGTATCGTAGACCTCAACATGTCCCAGCTCCGCACGCCTCCAGTGTTCGCATATACGCTTCGCACAGATCTTCGGGAACTGCGTGGTCCAAAGGATCGAGTGGCTTGGTTGTATTTGGCAAAGTTGCATGCTCTCACAGCACATCTGCTGCGTGATCCCTTCACCACACGGACCGGAACAGAGACGGCGCTCAGTCTCCTTCGCTCGGCACGATGCAGGGGGAACCTGTCCAACGGTGAAGATGTTCCTTCCATTGTGGCAGAGCAGACTTTGCAGGAAATCGCAAGGCTGGCTCCTGTGCGGAACAGCAAGAAGAGTGCAGAGACTGTGGATTTTCAACAGTTTCCAGCTCTGTGTGCCCATGAAGGTCTAGCCTTCCTCGCACGTGATGCTATGCAGGAGATCCAGGAACAAAAGGCGCTGATGGGCCTCGCAAGCAATGGCTGTCCCAAGGATTGTGAGGAGAGGTGTGGTCGCTTGGCCCAACGGTCTTACTTCCGTACCGGTGACACGTTTGGTCTGGCAGCGCGTCTGCAAGCAGAAGAGGAGAGGTCAGCAGCGCAGCCCAGTCGACCATGGCAGCCGACCTGCTGGCAAGAACAGTTTGGAGCCACAGCGGGGGCGCGGGACGTTGCCTTTGTAGTCTTCGCGAACTCCTTGCCACCACCGGAGAATAGACCCAGCTTGCAGAGCTTGTTACTCACTTCTCGAGATTTGCAGGGATGTGTGGATTTTCACTGCGAGGAGGTGAGCGTGGCAGAGTGGGAGTTGCTTAGTCGTCAAAAGACGTTGGACCTCCGACAGATGTGGATCGCCTTTTTCCAGGCTGCCAAGCGTCCGGGCAAGGAGAAATGTGGCTTTATGTTGGCTTACTTTGCTTCGCAATGGCCCCCTGAGGCGGTGAATCATTTGCAGCTGTTGGCCAGCATTTCGGTGCGGCAGGAGAGTTTTCGAGGGCTTGATCCACCAATGTACGCTTCCTATTCAAGACCTGATGAGAAGGACTTGAACGCGGCCACCGTTGGAGGAATCATCGCGGAGCACCTGAAGTCCTTCACAGAGAGTCCCCCACTCCGACGAACTCGGCGGGAGCAAGAAGAGGCAGACGCGCAGTTCCAGCAACGTAGGGAAGAGCATCAGAGGTACGCAGAAGAAAGCATCCAGCGGTTGGCAGGTCGAGTAGCTTTGAGATGGAGAGAGGGATTGCGCGCCTTGGAAGTGAGCGATTGCCAAGATGACATGGTTTCGAATGCTCATGATCTGACAGTAGCATTGAATGAGTGCTTTGAGCGCTGGTGGCGAGCCTTTGAACTCCATGAGTTCCTGGTGAAGGTGGAAAGACAACTCCAAGGGCTTGGTCAAGGGGAACTCTCCCAGAGTCGCCTGATGGAGCGCTCTCCAGCACCAGTTGTTTGTAAGAACTCCTTCAACCTATCAGAACCAGCTCCATTGGAGCTGAGTGGATCTCCACTAGATGAGCTCTGGATGACCGGGTCGCCTGGCGAACAACTCGTGCTCGAGCCACCCTTCCAACCGCCCGCGCGGCGTTGTCCCGAGCTACGATTGGTGCCAGAGACCGCTTACTCGGTGATCCATGAGGAGTTGTGTGCGCCTTTGCAAGAAAGCTGGCGCCTGGCACATCAAATGAAGATGTCCCACATCAGCCATGACTACTCTCCTCCGAATTTGCGAGAGCAACTGGAAGAAGCTTTGGAACTTCGACAGGACGACACGGAAGACACTTGGCAGAGAGTTATCGATGCCTTGTGCAGCCCGGGGCGCTTTGACGCTTTGATGCGGAGCTGTGGTCTCTTTGAAGAGCCGATTCCCCTGTCAGTGCTTCCGCGACTTCCCATTGTGACAGGTCAGCTGCAGCAGGCAAGAGATTGACCGCACTACTGTCTTGTGCTTGGCCAAGTGCAGATCGGTGACTGAATAGGGGTCCCAAAAAGATATAGACAAAAAAACCTGTTGCAAAACACATTAGAAGCCAATTCGATCTACTGCAAAGCATTCCAACTCCTTTTTTGCTCTAGAGCTGAGTTGGGTTTCAACTCGTCCGAAGATCTGCAAATGTGTAGCCGCACAGGTCATTGGATCTTATGCGATCGCCCTCCGAGCGGAACAGCGGGTGCTTCGTTGCTTGCGATTGCTGGAGCTACCTCACATGAGCGCATGGCTTGCGCGAGAGCTGCAAGAGTCCAGCAGTGGATGTGTGGGTTGGAAACCCAGAGAAGAGCCGGGGTGGTTGCTGCTGGAGATCGACAATGAATCTTGGTGCCAAGAAAGGGGGTGCGACTGGCCTGCGACTGATCTGAGATGAGAGTGTCAGCAATAGCTGGGCGCTCCAAACAATCATTGGTAATTTTTTCCCGGCATCACTGTATGCAGTGAAATACATGAGTTGTTCAAATACGGTACACGATCTCAAAAGAATGGCTCCCAAATTCATCAAGAGGAGTGCAGATTTCGTATCGCATGGCGGGCGAAGCCCGTCTGCAGATACCCTGTGCGATGGCTTCCCCATTTGCTGTTGCTAAGGACTTCTGCATCCGCGAGCAACAGGCTGCCGTGGCAAAGGAACTCATCAGTGCCAGCGGCAACCAGCTGCTGCAGCTCAACATGGGCGAAGGGAAGCCCCTTGGCCAAATCCACCAACCTGCATTTGCGTGATTAAAGGGTAGATACTTCGGTCAGAAAGGATGAAAACTGCCAGGAGACCATGATAAGGAAATGTTCTTTTGTAGCGTTGGATTGCTGGGTTCTATGTTCAACGGACAGTGAGTTTCCGTTTGATGGATTGGTCTGACAAGAAAGTCTGTGACGTTTGGTGGTAGACTGATCGTGGCTTTGGTTCAGGGGATGTTTGAGCATAAGGGCAGTTGCCGCTGATGCGAATGAATTTGGCCTGGAGCACCCCTTTTTGAGGCATACCGACATTTGTTTGTGAAAGTAAATCCATCCTGCCAGCGGATTAGCCGCAAAAAGAGGTGGAATGAAAAAAACACGTGTCAGTTCAATGGTTGGCATTTCACTTGGGCATTCACATCTTTGGTGACTTAGGAAGTTGGGTACTGTACCCTTGCTTCCTTAGGGGGTATGTGGTGTCTTCGTTTTATGGCAAGGACATCCGTCATTGTTCCTATGCTGGTGGCTTCACTGGCAAATGGCAACTATCTCCTACGGATCACCGTTCTTTCATCTTTGCGCCCTGCCAATGCGGCCGACTGGCAGCTGAAGTGCCTTGGCCCTATATGTAAGAGCTTCCCCCGCTGTGCCCTCTGAGATTGGATCGATAGAATGAATTGTTATGAGTTATTGTGTGGTGGAAAAGGGCTTTGCGACTTTGTGATGCTCACACAAAGAAAAGGTTGCCCACACAGAAGGAAGAACAAAGCACTGTTTAATCTCCGTCTATTTCTTTATGTGTTTCTGTTGCCGGGGGGTGGGCCAGAGCACAAAACGTTGAACGTTTGCCAGGTTGGGCGGCTTGCTCAACCGTCGCTTGCATCCCTTGTTCTGTCGTCGTGACCTTCCTGTGTCCGAAGCGGGGTGCTCAGCATTTGCGGTTTTGAATGGGGAACGCCTTGGTCTTGCTGATCGGGTGATGTGCATTTTCCCCATGGGCGAATCCACGAAACTGGTGAATATGTGTTTTCCCCTGGCTCCTGGACAAGCAAATCCAAGAGTGCGAGTCACCTAGGTGTTGTTCAAGACCTTGGACCACCATGTAGCTTGACCTCCCAGGTAGTCTAGTCTTGTTGCGGTCAACCATGGTTTTGCCCCACAGCCACCTCAGTTTTTGACACTTCCATGCCAGGCACTCAAGGTTCTGTACTAGAAGCTACTAGGAGCAAAGGGCATCGCTACTAGGAGCAAGGACGCTACTAGGGGCTCCTGGCCTCACTACTAGGAACAGGAAGCTACGAACGTAACAAGTGATTCAGACCTCTGGGTGTTTCGTCCAGTGAGGCATCTGCGCAACGAATGGTCACTCTCTTAGACAAGATCCGAAATGGCCACTGAGCGAGAGAAAGAACGTTTGCCCTTGTGTCAGAAGCCACTTGAGCCTACTTCTTCCCCCTACTCTTCTTCTTCTCCTGATCTTTGTGGCAGCAACCATTTGATTTGCAGATGTTTGATCAAAGATCAATCCAAGAAAACACAAAGGTTTGTGGGCAGTTTGGACTTGTGTGATGTTGCATGGGTAATTCAGTCCGACAGACCATCGCGTTGCAAGTCGTTTGGTGACATCTTGGTCACCTAGGCCAGCATGTCCTGGTCACTGTGCCAGAACATCGTCTATCAATGGAAAACAAAGCCATCGAACTAGCCTGGAAGGGTGAACTGGCTGCGAGCCAGCAGCTGCATCACGTCTTGGATTTCTTTAAGAGACATGGGCGAGACATCTTGGATGAGTCGGACGAGACCCATGTCCTTCAAGAGTCCTTTCGTTTCGAGGTTTGTTGTTCTTGAAGGTACCACAGAAAAATATTGCATAAACTCCAAGTTGAAAGCCTAAGCCTACGTTGCCTTGAGAAGAGGATCCTTCACGCGAAGTATCAGCTCATCTACACCTTGGGTCAACCGGTGGCTTTGGACGGAGGCGCCATGCGTTGGAGGGCCGCCACCGCAGTCCTGGCCTGCGTGGCCCGTCACGCGCCCGACTTGGCCAGAGAGTTCGGGCCGAAGGCATTGCAACCGGTACCCGAGGACACCGCGGAGTATGAGTTTCCAGAGAGCCTCCGTTTCTGGGAGGGCATTGGGGAGTGGAACGCCACTGATGAAATCTTCTAAAGCTACTAGTAACAAGTGCATCGCTACTAGGAGCAAGGGCCTTACTAGTAGTAACAAGAAGCTATTAGAAACAAGAAGCTACTAGGAACAAGTGCATCGCTACTAGGATTTCAAGTCGATTCAAGAATTGACTTTTGATCAGCTACGTTTGGAAGACTCTTGTAAGGAGTGCAGGTCAGCGGGATAGATTTGGGGGTTGCCCACTGCTCACGGAATGAGATCAAATGCCTAGAATAATCGCGTGCATGCGCTTGCAGACACCCAGAGCTTTTGATCCATCCAAGGTTTGTTAGCTGGCGCCAATGAACAAGGAACTGATGGCATAAGCTGCTACCAGCGGCTGTGCAAGTGCATCATGCAAGACTTCCTGGACGAAGTCACTGGCTTCAAGTTGCCTTTGCGCGCCGTTGAGCGCACGCGCTTCGAGGAGTGTGTGCTGAAGCCGGAAGCTTGGCTTGCTTGAGAGGTGCCAACTAGAGTCCTGTGGATAAGACTTGATAGCGAAGACTCTTCGGACGTGACTTGATGCAATCCCACCGCTCTAGAACCAAGAACAAAACGGTCAAGAGATCAAACAGTTTGTAGTGATGCTCTTGTTCCTAGTAGCTTGGTGAAAGGCCTGATCTGATATGTTGTTTCCTTGGTTCTCAGGAAGCGGAAGATCAACCATGGGCTGATTTGCACGAGAGCCTCCAGCCACTGGCGCAGCTCCTACGAGGAATTCTCAGTCACGAGGTGGGAAAAACCATTGGGCGGTTTCCGAGCGTTTAGCGTTCGGCGGTTTTTAGTTTTACGTGTTTTTCGTACCGGTTCTTTCTCTTGTTAAGGTTTTTGCTACTGAGCTTTCTGGATGGACAATGTTTGGACCTGAAAAGATGGGAACAAGGAAGTCAGAACAATGGACTACATGCAAACCTGTGTTCCCCTCTTGGTGCTCTCTTAACGAAAGTACCCAAGCCCCCCGGCAGAAAGTATTTTGAGGTTCGTAAGCACTTAACAGAGGGAAAGTGTCGAAATGAGTTGCAGGCAGGGAAGGTGAAGCGCTGGATTGTGCATTCCATTGACCCATGTTAGTCCTGGTGTTGTGTCTCTCAGAGCACCTTCGTGGCGTCAGGTGCTGTTACTGGTTCTCAGCAAGCGCCACCGCGTTGACTATGGCGCCCATCCACAGGGCGTGCGGCGCATGGCTGTGCCTTACCGTGCTAAGGATGTGGCAGCCGAGCGGGCGGAGTTTGGCCACCCGGATGTGGCAATGCTGCTCTCGATTTTGACGTGCCCTGCGGGTGCACAGTCTTGAAATCATCTTACCCGAAAGCACTTGCAAAAACCCAACGGTACAAAAGAAGGTAATAAAAGGGAAGGTGCGAGAAGGAGCACAATGAACCCGAACCAGGTAGATGACCACAACTTCAGAAGGGTGTGCCACAGACATTCTTCCACGATAAACGCCAGACCTTTGTGTCCAGGTACTACCGAAGCGGACTCAGTGACGACTACCTCCATGAGGCATGTCGCATCCATTTTGCGACGAGCTGGATGGGTGCATCCCAGCGGTTATTGGGTTTGGTCCCTCTGTGGAGATACGGAGGATTGAGTGTTCTCCTCAATTTACCTAAGTTGCAGTCATACCGGGCATTGGTTTGCAGTACGACATAGAAACCTCAAGCAGACCTTGACCCACACCCACAGACATGGGCGGGCGAGGGCAGGCACATGTGTACCTTTCTTTGCTGTTCTGTTTGTATTGTTGGAAAGAGTTGAGGAACATCTAAATTCTAAGACAACAAGCCTCGTTGTTTCCACAACTTCATGTCATGTTAAAAGAACGATTAAGCATGTTTCCAAAAGATCATGTTGTATGGTATGAAACAGAGACTCCTCCCCGGCAATCAGTCAGTCCAATTCCAAACCCCCAGGTGTTTTTGTTTGATTTCGGTGCCTGATTTTCGGAGTTATCTCTTAGAATCCTCAAACGGGGTTTCTCAAAAATGTATTGAAAACATCGTCATCCAAGGAGACTACGTGATTCGTCATCGAATGCATTTGATAAGATGATATGATTAATGCTGTTGCTTTGGATTCCTATTGCACCATATTCTCCGTAAAGGCCGCCCCTTCTGATGGTTTGATGCATGTTGGTGCTCCTTTTCCTTACTGAAAGTGAGACGTCGAATCTGTGTTAGACCCATTGCTTCAGCACTTTTTCCATTTCCACAGTAGCAGCCAGGAATGGACCTTTATAAGGTTTCACCAGGGCCGGGAACACCTGATCACCTCTCAAAATCCAGGGAACAAGCTTTGATCATCAGGTCTTTGAGCGGCTACGGAAGAAAGCCGTCGAAGCAGAGGCAGCGTCAATCTATGAGAAATGGACTGCGCAGATGAAGGACTGCTTGGAGACCCTGCTTTTGCTTGAGGCGATACCTAGTTTCGTCTTTGATGAGGTTGTTGGTTTCATACGCATACCAACAGGCGGAGAAGCCTAACGGACACGGAGGGGTCCTCAGCATGCGCCTAGAACATCCCCCGTACAAGTACTGGGACAAGCAACACTTGATATTTGCGAAGTATATGCAGCCTGATAAGTTCCACAAATGGATTGTTCTTGTTGTGTTTCAACGGTCCACACCCTAGCTCATCCACTGAACTGCAGGGGTGGGGTAGTGGCCCGCCTGTCCGCCTAGTGTTGCGCCCGAAGATTGAACCCAGGAGGCACTAGACCATACCGGCCCTCAATGGATTGTTCTTATGTAAGGGGTCCAAGACCACGTGATTTTTACAGATGCAAGCACTGAGACGCAGTAGTTCGACCACTTCGTGACGTTCTCTATTTTGTTTAGACTCCAAACCCAGGACCCTAGCAGACGTCAAATTCGAAGTTGCGAGCTTGGGCAATCCACAACCCCTCCTCTCAGCGCACAGGAGCGTATGCCCGCAGATCTCCGCAAGTGGTCCGGTGTGAACCTTGACAACCGGCAGATGGTTCTCCATAGGCTTTTCCCACTCTTGCGCAGGCATCGAGGAGCGGGTGGACGATCTTACTTGGAACACGTGATTTCTTGGAACTGCTCCAGAAATCCAGAAGAACAAAGGAAAACATCTCAACCAGTTTGCATTCTGCAATTGTTATTTGCATCTTGTTACTACTAATAAGGCACTTGTTACTGGTAGCGATGCACTTGTTACTAGTAGCTTATTGTTTCTAGCCTCCAGCCTCTCTTTGGTCTTTTCACATCTTTTTGAAGAATCCGCGAAGGATAACACTCGAAGAATGCCAGGAGTGATTGATTTTTGGCTTGATGAGGTGGTCTTTCCCGTTGAAGCGAAGTGTTTTCCCCAGAAGATTGCATCAACAGCCTGGGACTTGTGCAGTGATCACGGTATCACCACAGGCTTCTCTGGGACGGATGACACCCGTTTGCTGCTGCCTTTGACGATCGAGCAAAAGAATTTGCCAGGGCTGGCCTGTACCAATGGCATTGTTCTGCGTAACCTGCTGAAGCAGGCGGGTGATACATGCACAAAACGGAAGTCAACCCCGGAACCAGACACTCGGTCCTGCTTGTTTGGTGGAAAGAAGTTTCTCATCAATATGGTTCCAGCATGGCTTGCCAGATGGCATTTTGTCGGTAGGCCCCGCACAAAGTAAAGTGCCAGAGGCGTGTGGAAGAATCATAGTCTTCTCTTGGTTGCATTGATTGGTTTGCAATTCGGGGCCTGGCAGGAGAACGACCGGTACACATCGCTGCCAGCAGAAGTGAGTCCCAATGGCCAAAGTCTTTTGCAGTTGATCAGCATTTGCCAACGGTCCATCAATGTAGTGCTCGATGCGGGCGCCTGGGTCACGGACATGTCCAACGAGGAATTTGGGGCCAAGTGGCTTGAGCAGCGTCCTGACATGGAGGCTGTCGTGTTCTTCGGCCCGCAGAACGAGATTCTGGTGAAGAATCGAGCTGGTTGGAACATGGCTCTAGCCACGTCGCCCTACGAATCATCTCTGCAAAAATGCCTTGTCTACTTGGATGATGTCCACACGCGTGGATCCGACTTTCGGTTAAGCCCAGGGACCTGTGCAGCAGTGACTTTAGGCCGACGCATGCAGAAGGATAAGTTGGTGCAAGCGTGCATGCGCATGCGCCTGCTGGGCAATGGGCACACAGCACCTTGCATGGCTTTGGCTGATTTTGCTTATCTTGCGAACATTGCCTCTTTCTGATCATGCCCATGTTAGGCTGCCTTCAGAATCCTTTTTGAGGGGGCATTGAACAATGACAAAAAGGCTTGGAAAATCACAGAAGTGGACATGGCGTAGTTGCCAAAGTGAAATTGTGTTCCAGGGATCCAAGCACTCATACTTTCAATCCCCTCGTGTCGGCACCGCGCCAGCAGTGAATGCTCCAATTTGGGCGGTATGGAGAACCATCCATGTTTTGGTCTGTGGAAGCTTCAAGGGTTCTCCCCTGACTGAAAATGAAATAGCCTCCCGTGAGACAATCTGTGACCCTTCCGGGCCATTTACAGGTAAGCTTGGAATTGGCAGATGTACTTCACTGCAGATGTTTTGAGTGTCATTCAGTCAACAAAGCATCCCGTTCGAATTCCTTTTGGTGTCCCAGGCCACTTCCACAGGCGCAGAACTTTACATGGCATGGTTTTTGTTTGCAGTTGAAGAGGCTTATGGGAAAGCCTGGCTCCATGCGGCTGGCTCAAAGAGAGCTAAGGTCTCCTTTTACGCCTCATTCGAGGTGGACCAACAGATCGCTAATTTCCGCAATGATACTGGGAGGTCACCACAGGCCAAACATGTGCTCGCAATCCTTTCCTGGTGCTTGGCCAACACTGCCCAAGCAATTGCAGAGAATTTGCCCTACTGGGCGGCCCAGGGCATGAACCGCTTTCAGAAGAAAGATGCCTACGCTAAGCACTACAGTACAGATGCCGAGCGCTGCGACCTCCAGTCCTTGGCCGCGTCTTGCACGGAAGACGAAAATTGGCAGCTTCAGGAGATTCTTAGCCGATTCAGAGCCCAGAGCTTTCGGATGTTTGGGGCATCATATCTTTCAATTCTTCAAGATCCAACGTTTGGATGCAAACTTTAAAGACCCTGGTGCAGAATACCAAAGGTCTATACAAACTTGTTTCATGTTGCAAACTTGTGTTCAAAGAGAACTGACCCACATGTAACTTGAGACGACCCATAATTGGCTGAGTGAGGATGTATGGTCATGCCCGAGTGCACCGTTCCATGCCGGAGGTTGTGACATCCATGATCCGTCGCCAGGGCCGTGGAGCGAACTCGATGTCGATCGTCCAGCGCGTTCGATTCTTGGCAGAGAGCATCTCCTGCCCCAGCAGCATGTTGTCTGAGGAGCAAGAGCGTGAATCTCAGCTGAAATCTTTTGGACCAGTTTGATCTCCGATTTCTTTGGCTTTACATGTCCGAACCAATCAAGCTGCTTTCGTCAGGAACTGGAGGCTGAATTAGAAGAGGACAGATTGAGTTGGCGATGTGGCCCAGTGTTTGACAACCATGGGCTCGTAAAGATTGTTGCATCGCAGGCTATGCTGAACCTTGCTGTTTCTGAACGTGGGACAGTTTGACAGCCAGCACAAACGGAGAAGCAGTTCTTCACTCCAAGAAAAGACTTTGGGAGGAAGTATGCGATACGAAGCACTTGCGACAGCGACCCCAAAAAAATTTATCGAGTTTTTTCGGCCATTCGACTTCAAGCTCGGAACACCATTGCAACCAACATGCCCTAGCTTCCTTAGAACTGTGTCGATGTTTGCGTCAAAACCTGAAGAACTTGAGATGTTCTTTGATTTTTCCTCGTTTTCCCAGCAGAGTTTCGCACCAGTCATTGTGAACACAGGAGCGACAGGTGGAGAGACCTCCAGCCGCCAAGCCAGCGACACCACAGCTGTCTCCGGGACTGCTGGAGCTGCTCGGCAGAAAGACTTGACTCCCCAAAAAGAATAGATGCACATGGAAAACATGGAAATTATTTGAATCTATGTGGAAAACGTATCAAGACATGTGGCACACATGAAGACATATGGCAATGGATGCTGGGGAGGGGTCAACGTAGCATGCCTTTAAATTGTAGTTTTGACTCGCAGCTGATGTTGATCTGGGCACCATACTACACATGATCTATGGAAAGTCACGCAAGTGATCTGAGCAAGGCAGCTGTTTCCTCACGATTTGTCGCAAATTCCATATGTTGGCTGGACATGGCAACGAGAGGAGATCCACCTGGCCAGCTTTTGTTGGCACATCCCCAGCTGCAAGGAGTCATGGAACTCGACGTCCTGACTCGTACTCTGGAGTGCGTGCACTTGGCGCAAAACGAAACCATTCCGCGAGGAACCCACAGAGAGGAGCGTTCCTCTTGAAACAGAGCGCAGCGACAAAACGTGCGTGGTCCTCAAGGTCAAGGGGAGGAGAAGGGCATCTCCGTCCTCGAACAGAATGTTCCAAGTTTGTCGCGAAAAAAGCGACGATTCTTGTTTCTCCTTGTGTGTGTGTGTGTGTGTGTAACATGCTATTCATGCATGATCTCAAATCTGACTCACAGGGCGACATGGCGTCCACAGTCACATCACATCCTCATATCACATCCAATGCCACTGTCATGCCGCATGCCCATGGAAGCATGAACTGACATCGTGTCGCATCAAAACAACACATTGTTGGACATCACAACGTACCTCTCAAACATCAAAACAACACGGTTCTCCAGCGGCCACAACATTAGTTGGGCTCATGGGATGATTTGTTATACACATGTTTGGCATGTTAAACGTCCGCCCGTCTAGGCCATGTTTCAGGTTCGAAACGGATGCCCTGGCGCCACGATGTCCGCCGGCAATGTCCACCTGTGCTTTACCCTCCACCGATGGTTTTAACAAAAGCAGCATTATACCACCTGCATGCCTTCTGACAGAGGCAAAAAGGTTCCCATCTCCGCAAAACATACTAAGAAGAAGGGGCTGAATGCACCCACAGTGATTTGCTGAACTTGCTAATGATTCTGTCACATCGAATCAGTGACGTGAAAGGGAACAGTTTGCGCAAGGGATCCAATGTCCTGTTTAAACTGGCCTTTGTAGGCAAAGACCCTATCCTTGCGAGGCTGTTAATGGTAGAGATTAGTAACAGCAGATTGGCCGTTGATTCAAACAGCTATGTTTGGATGGTTCTAACATGTTCCAACCTTTGTTAATCCCTCCACCGCCAAGCCTTGCTGTTGCCTCAGGCTTGCCACAACAGGCTACACGGCTGAATCTTTCCAGAGCCTGGACGAGGCACTGGCAGAGCATCAGACAGTGTAGGTGTAGCTCTTGTCTGGCCAGCAAATTCAGGAATCAAGGAAGTCCTTTGGAAAACTTCCTTCCCCATTCAAAGTCTTTGTTTCCGGCCCTACCCACACATATGATGTTTGTTGTCGAAGGCTTTTGCAAGCTTTCCAGCCAAGTCACACTTCAGTGTGATGTGCTGCCAGACGCAAAGGGCTAGGCAAGAATGAACGCTTCTAAGTTGCCAGTACCTTCCGGAAACTTTAATAGTCCCTGCTTTGCTTGGCGCTCGTCCATTTTGCAGGTGTTGAAACGGACGTCCTTTCAGACACCCAGCTGGAAGCTGGTGAAAGTGCAGGTGACTTCGGACTTCATTCGGACGGTTTCCGGGCTCAGCAGCGAGTTCAGGGCAGTTTTGTCGCGCCCGGGCGGTCGTTCGAGCTCAAAACGGGGTGTTATTTGCCGTGAGCGGGTCGTGGCGGACGCTGTTTTCAAGGAGGAGGCGATGAGAGTAGAGAGGGGAAGCTCTGTGGGAACGTGGAACATAACGTGGCTTGCGAGTTTCGGATTTGTTGAGAAGATTTGAATTTTGCGCCAGGGGATACACCCTCAAAGAATCCTGGAGGTCATCATTTGTTTGGCATTCGGAAAATAGTGGGGCCATGCCATCCACGTAACCGTGATGATTCCGTGTTAGCAGCTCGAACAGCGACGACTCGTCGGGTGCTGAGGTTGACAATGTCAAGGTCTTGGATTGGTATTTGAGACCTGTCCAGTGGCTTCTGAAAGGCAGGGTTGACGGGTTGACCCAAGGGAACAGCCGCAACCAAATTGTTCATGCCTTTGACCCACCAGCACCCCATGTTGACTGATGTCCATTTCAATGAAGTTGAGATCATGTTGACATCTGGTAGGGGTGGCTTCTATAGCTTTGCTGCTTGCTCCTTTTTCTGCTCAGTTGTTTGTCAATCTCAGGTGAGGACCCCTGACCATTTCAGGCACCTCCCAACGCGTTATCGTGAGTAATTTTGAAGCAGAAGCAATCGCCAGCATCTTTCTGATGGAGGGGCCGCGCTTCTGATGTCCATTCTTTGATAATCTAGATCCAGTCGGTCCAATGAAACCTTTGCAGCATCTATTGCGCTGTTCCCTTTTGGAGCCCAGAGAGTTCCCGTTTGCCATATGAAGCCAGGAGGGACATGCGGCGAAGCTTCAATTGGTGGCGTCCTGTTTGTCGGCAGAGCAGAAGCCGGTCGATGGGCCACTGCCGATTGAGGTGGAAGCACCTCGCCTCGTTAGGTTCATTGTCAAACCAGAGACTTGCCGCGTCAAGGTGATATTGCAAGATTGTGCGCACGATAAAGATGTTGCTTCTTGTGCATCAACGAAGACAAACTGGACGGTTGCCCCAAAATTCAAGGTCTTTGCAGGAAGCCTCTACGGCATGGAGGCTGACGATATGTCCTGCCTTCGAAGCTTTCTGGGATTGAGCTTACCAATCCCTCGAAGCCCGAGCTGGACAGCGCTTTTCGAGCAAGGTTTTATTGCCAACGATGGCTTCGTCAAGCGTACAGACCACGAGCGCGTGGCAGGCGTGAGTGGCAAAGACGAGGTGTTGTAGTTTGAACGAAGGTTGACACTACCAAATGCAACGTGCTGTATGTAGTCACAGCAACCTCCTGGCCTTTAATCTTCTGGTTCCGGCACAAAGGCCGGGAAAATAACCTAGAGATAGAGTGAAAACGGATTGGCCCACAACAGAAGGGGTTGCTCTACCTGACAATTTGTTGAAGCAATTCATCTGGCATGTTGTTGTCAATTCACTCTCCAGAAAACGGGGTGTGTAACGGTCTCACTCTCTTAGAAGGAAGTGATATTATCTTGTTGCAGTGTTGCCGCGTCTTGAGTGTTGGCTGGTGAAGACCCCTGCCCTCCAGGGGTAGACCGACACTTCAAGCCGTCGTCATCGCCCTTTGCAACCTCACCAGTGAGCCAAGTGCGTCAGCTATACGAGGCACGTCACTTGAGCGCCGCTTTGCTCCATGCGCCTGTGGCGCAGCTGTTTGGAGCCTACAAGAACACCTAGAGCTCGACGCCATTGCTTAAGCCTGTTGGCAAATTTGTTCAGGTAGGGTCCTTCAAGATCTAGCTTCCAATCAAAAGAATATTTGGTAGCTGACTGAAGATGTGGAGATGGCAGTCCAACTGGCCTTCCCATGGCTCCTGCTCTTTGATCTTTGAGCATTTGAAGCCCTTTTTGAGCATATTGGCCCCCGAACAAACTGATAGCATCTATGCCTGACGTCAGAATCCAAGTCAAGTCACGTTGATTTTGAAGTTGGAAATTGTCTCTTTCGATTGTCAAGACAAGACCCAACACAGCATGATGTTGCAAAATCTTTGGGCCAAAACACCAAAAGATGTAAACAAAAAGTAAATCCATAATATGTTCTGCTCTTGATATTTGAAAGTGTTCCTGGGAGCGCCTGAGTGAAGGATTCTTCTTCGAAAAGCAGGTGTAACGCACACCATCGCAACTCATATCCAGGGTTGCATATTCCACACCAGCACATCTGTACATCTTCGCATCTGCGCATGTATCTCTCTCTTGTCTCTTTCTTTCTCTTGTTTTTTCTCTTCTTTCTTTCTCTCTCTTCTTTCTCTCTCTCTCTCTCTCTCTATCTTCTTTATTTATCTCCTTCCTTTCTTCCTTCCTTCCTTCTTTCCTTCCTTGCTTTCTTGTTTTCTTTATTTGTTTTTTTAGTTCCTTAATGTGTTTCTTTCTATCTGTCTATCTATCTATCTATCTATTTCTTTCTCTCTCTCTCTATCTCTCTCTCTATTTTTATCTTTTTTGTCTATTGCCATTTTCTTTTCGCTAATATAATGTGTCTTTCTGACGTCGTGCCCACAAGTCAAGATGTATGAATATGTGCTCCAGATATAAAAATGTCTTGGTGTGGTATATGTAGTTGTGGATTCATATAGATACAAACAATGCAATGTATAATTATCTATTTTTTATAATTTGGCTTAACGCAGTTTGTGCCCTTGGGTACTGGAGTGAATGTTCGGATAGCGAACCGACACGTGGCCATTTTGGCTACAAGCCCACCCGAGTACGGCTGAAGTCCTCCCAGTGCTGTTTTTGCAGCCGGGGGAGGATGGCTGAGCAAAGGGTGGGCTCGCGTGGCCGTTCCATGCCTAGACAGACGGCCAAGAGGTTAGAGGGGGATGCCAACCTCAGTGGGTGTCGCCGAGAGAAGCTTGGCAAAACCTCCGGCATTCTGGCAGTCGGGGCGGAAGTTCCTTCCGGATCGGCCACCCCTGAGAGTTTAATGCTTACCCCACAAAATACATATAAAGACCCCCCTTTCCTAGTGACTTATATTGATGCGTTGCTTACCCGAAACGTCGACGCGCAGAGCATTCTCCCCCGCTGCCACAAAGGCATCTGAGAGGTGCTCTGGGGTGTTTGATGTCGATCTATCTCTTAGCACGTGACCAAGGGCACGTTGATTTGAAACCGCCGGACTAGGAGAAGGTTGTTGAAGGCGAAGAAGGTGATCCTGCACCTATTTGCTGGTGAACGTGCTTACGAATGGTTAGAGCTGCAGGATCAGGGATGTGAAGTCATCGCGTTGGACGGGGAAACGGAGTTCGGTTCCCTAGGCGAAGGAATCGAGGGGGCTTTCCATCCCCTTAGGCTCTCCTTCAGAATCATTTGGGAGTACACACAAAGGGACGCCTCATGGACCAGCAAAGGGGAACAGCAAGGAGTGTCCTTCAAGAGGCGGGCACCCGAAGGTAGTGGAAAGACAGGAAGTGCACGAAACAGAGGACTCTGACAAGTATGTGCCGACCTCACTTGATCCCGCTGGGGAACAAGGCGGACTACCTACGGTGGATGAAGTAACCAAGCAACCGTTGAACTTCAGGAACAAGGCCACTCCCCCACCAATCCCGAGTAAAGTGAAGGGAACAATTGGCTATGTCCCGAAGATGCTCCCTACTCGCTGGAGCCCGCTTGAGTTAGAGAAGCTGGAGTATTTCCGCCAAATCGCGAAAAGCCTGTTCGAAGATTTGGCAATAATGAAAATCAATACGAATCTGGTAGGCTCAGTGATGGAGAATGGCGAGATTGTCGAAGATACTTTCTACATGCTGACGGAGCCCCGGTTAGCCGGCATAGGTTTGCGTTACGAAAAAGTACCTGGAGATATTGAATTTCATAGAGGAACCGTTTAGTCTTCCCTTCCTCCAGAAGTATATCAGGCAGTTGATGGTAGATGAAGCAGGTTTCCGGACACCTCAAAGCCTTCTCCACGCCTTCGAGCACTTCGCCGGAATTTTTGGCTTCAGTTCGCCTGGCTCCAAGCACCGCAGGATTGGGAAGTTGGCTATGGACTATGCTCCAAAAGCCCCGGAGCGAAATCTAGCTCCATATTTGGAGATGGACTTCTTGGACTACTTGGAGGGGTGATTTGCAGACCCATGTGGCGTGCGGGAAGCTGAGATTCTGTGTTTAAGTTAAGGTACGCTAGAGTCAAAAGCTCTAAGAGGGGGGCGAATAATGGTATGTCGCTACCTTCTTCGAAAAGGGAGTGATCTCGCCTGAGGCAGGCAGGCAAGTTACTAAAGGACAAGAAGGAACTCATCCTAGACGATAAGAAGATTACCTTGAACTGGACTCATTGGGAGTTGTTTGAACTCCTCCTACCCTGCATATTAGCGTACCTACCACCGCTCCGGCATCCTAGTGTAGCGGCGTGGAGTCGTAGTTATTTTACAAATGTCTTAGGAAAACTTTGATGTTTTTATATCTCAAGTGATTTTTTGTTTTTCCTTCGTTTTTTGGGATGGTTTTATTATTGGAAAAAATACGACGGAAGAATTTGTGTTTTTTTATGATTGTAAAAAAAAAATTGAAGGAAACGATTAAAATTGAATTTTCTATTCTTAAGTTCTTTTTTGGTTATTTAATATTGAAATGAATTTGGTTCGATATGTTTTTGGCATCGATTAAATAACTTATGTGTTTAGGTATATATAGTATGTAAATAGTATAAAAGGGAAATTTTAGACGGGTATGTAAATTTTGTTTATCGTTGGTTAGATTATATAGGCGGATGTTTTTGAATTGGTAATGAAATGGATGATATTGAATATAGAAATGGGATTATAGCTTATAAGGTGTATAATAATAAGAACGATATATTAAAGAAAGGCGATTGAATGTTATACGTAATTTTTTATTAAGTATTTGAGTCCGTTTCTATGACGGAATAAAGGTTTGATTTTATGAAAAATTCGTAATACGATATATTGATAAAGGCGTATAGTGTGAGGTTTAATATAAATAATCATTTTTATCCGTCGATTTATGTCGTTATAGTAGTTGGGAATTTTTTACAAATATAGATAGGAAGTTGGATAAAATTATTTCGGATATGATTTATTTAATGAATTGATATATAATGATTCTTGACTTTCGAAGGGTATATTGTTGAGAATTTTTATGTGGTTGAATATTCGGCGATTTTAAAAAAAATATTTTATTTAAAATATTTTATATGTTATATAAGTTATAACGACGATTTTTAGGGTATATTATTGTTAAATTTAATGAGGATTGTGGTAGAAGAAAATATGATTATGCGATAAAGGAAAAGATATTTTTTTATATTTACATACACGTATATAAATATTATTCTGAAGTGTATTATGTTTGAACTTGAGTTTACTCGAGTCCCACCGTAGGGTGGGTTTATGCTATTAAAAGTTGGTACGGTCCGTCGCGCCGCGCGCGCGTTTTGCTTTTCGTCGAGAACGGTTGTTTTCGCACTTACTTTGTGGATTTCGTATATTACTAATGTCTTTTTATTGGTAAGGGAGCCTTCCTGCTAGGGAGATTCTAATTGCGCTCTCCGCATCGCCGAGCAGATTGCTTGCTTGTTAAATTCTTTATTGAAGATCCCTACGGGGTGATCGGACTTTGGCTCCCTTTGGATGTCCGGTTAACGGTAACAATATTACAGAAAGACATTAGTATTCGCGATTGGCTTTATGACGACATTTTCCACCTTTAAGGAGGATAATATATTTGTAGATATCCGGGACTTATTTATTCCTCTATTTAGCGGGTAGCCATTTGATTATCGCGAATGGAGGTAGCGGATCTAGCTTTACTATCACAAGATGGTCTTGAGCAAACGCTTAGCCGAGAGCGTGATTAACGTTGTCTCTTCCTTTAAGGGCGTGGTCTGGCGTTTGTTTGAAGTTGGCCCTTGAAACACCTGGAGAACGACGGTGCTTTTGAACGACGGTGCTTTTGAGGAAGTGTTTAAGGTCCTCGAAGGTAACTTCTCCTATGATAAAAGGGCTCAACTCCCGAACGACTTCGAAGGTTACTTTAGCTGCAGAGGGCACCGGGTCAGACCTTCTTGACCTACGTCAATGACCACGAGGAGGCATACCGTCGACTCCTCTAACACAAGGTGACCCTACCAGAATCTGTCTAAGGATGGCATTTATTGACTCGCGACCAACGCCATTTGGTGACGCTCAAAGCCCCTTTTGTAGAAAAGACCTCCGTCATTGGGACTTTCTACCTGATCATGGGCCAAGATTACAAAGGAGGTGGATGGAATTATGATCGCAACAAGAAGTTTGGGAAATGGGGCTCCAATAAGGCCTTTGCAGCTCAGGATGACTGGGAGGATGCTGATGATTGGGGTGATGAAGCTGGTTTCTACCCCGAAGAGGCCTATGAAGAGGAGAATTGTGATTTCTGATTACGATGCTGGCTAGTATGATGATGAACCGTGGCCTGACTCCTCCGAGACTGAACTAGATCCTGAACAGATGGCCGAAGAATTTAACACAGCACCAGGTTGGTATTCTTCCATGTAATTGGTGCCAGGACCCATACCTGGCATGTAACCTTCGAGATTGCAGTGCTGATGATCGCTTTGCCATTGGAGAGTCATGGCATTCTGCACGGCCTGCTTGGTCGTCAAGATGGAGGTGCTCTTCCGTGCAGGTCGCAGACGTTGTTGGAATCCAGACACATGGAGCCGTGGCGACATTGGTCAAAATCTACACGACGAAGGCCGGGAAGATCTCCTAGCACTCGTGTCTGCCAGGACAAGGCATGCTTGGGTTGCTCAATGTGAGCATGCCGGCCACCGCGAGCCTGTCGGGGTACCCTTTCTTGCTGAACATGAGATACCGGTTATGATGGAACTGCCTGGAAGCACGAAGAGCTTTCGAGTTGTTCTGGAGTAGACTTCCCAAACGTTCGTCTCAGAGGGGCGCAACTGCTTAGTGACACAGGCGGAGAGGTCGTTCATATGGGTGCGCAGATGCATGCACAGACATCGTCTTTAAGCTGTGGCCTTAGA